TAATTTTACGAATAGAAACGGATATAATAATGCATTGTGATTAAATGTTTACGTTTTTCGATGTCATCGTTTTTAATTTCTAAACATGAGAATTTTTATGAATTTACGCAGCAAAGAGAAATATAAATTACATAAATTATCAATAAATAGAAAATAATTTAATATAAATAATGAGAAAAAAAGAAGAATAAACAAATAAAATTGGAAAAAGAAGAAACGAGGAGAGCGTCAGACGCGCGGCGCACGATCGCTCAGGCGCGCGTGGGCGAACCTGCGCGAGGTTGTGGACAGCGCCTCAACCGCATGTGGTTGCCTCAACCGCATGTGGTTGCCTCAACCGCATGTGGTTGCCTCAACCGCATGTGGTTGCCTCAACCGCGTGTGGTTGACTCAACCTTCACGTGTTTGGTTCAACCTTCACGTGGTTGGTTCAACCTTCACGTGGTTGCCTCAACCTCCACGTGGTTGGTTCAACCTTCACGTGGTTGCCTCAACCTTCACGTGTTTGGTTCATCCTTCACGTGTTTGGTTCAACCTTCACGTGGTTGACTCAACCTTCACGTGGTAGACTCAACCTCCACGTGTTTGGTTCAACCTTCACGTGGTTGGTTCAACCTTCACGTGGTTGCCTCAACCTTCACGTGTTTGGTTCAACCTTCACGTGGTTGGTTCAACCTTCACGTGGTTGCCTCAACCTTCACGTGTTTCCAATACTTTATACCCACTCTAGCTCCTGATAACGTCGCTGACGTGCAGGTATTTCCAATACTTTATACCCACTCTAGCTCCTGATAACGTCGTTGACGTGCATTCCAAAGCAGCAAAACCGCTCACCTTTACTGAAATTAGCGCGTTTGTTGATGTATTGTTTTTGCCAAACACTGCTGCTGTATCTCACTTGTGCTACTTTTCGAATACTGCAGCTGATAAACTTCATGCTTTCGCAAAGCACCGCTGCTATTTAAATCACGGTTGAATATGTTATTTAAGAACACTGCTGTTGCCGCTACTGCTATCGCAAAATACTGCTGCTACTTCTGCTATCGCAAAACGCTGCTACCATCACTGCTATCGCTTAACACTGCTGCCACTACTACTATCGCTTAACACTGCTACCATCACTGCTATCGCTTAACACTGCTGCCACTACTGCTATCGCTTAACACTGCTGCCACTACTGCTATCGCTTAACACTGCTACTTCTTCTACTGCGCCTCCACATCACCGCAGCTGGGGGCCACGAAGGCAGCGTGTGTCCATGTATGGCCTCTCTTATCCGCCTCAGTTAATCTAAGGCTCAAAAGCCGCGGGGTTTGTTTTTGTGCGGCCCTTTAAGTAATTTTTTTTTCAGTAAACTTTGCGGGAAGAGCAAGAATTTGCCAATATGATCCATGGATGTGAACGAACCCTATTGAAAAAGATGTTGGACACAAATAGGTGGCCGAGCTTAAGGCCGCATTAGATTTAGCTCTTACATTTTTGTATAGTTTTCTTTGTAAATATTTAAGAAGGTTGCTGTTTTGGTTAACTGAAAAATCGTGGGTTTTGAACATCTCATAATTATGATGTTGATGAGGTTGTTTTAAATCCTATGCTATGCAATATCTTTAGTTTGACGGTGTTAATCTATAATTAATATGAAGCGTCCAAGAACACATAATGTGTTGATAGATTTCAGTATCGTAGAAATCATCTACAAAAATGTAAAGAAATTTATCGAAGATTTACAAATTTTTAAATAGAATTCAATTCAATATTATATCAATAATTTTAATACGTTATTTTGAAAGCGTTCCATATGATCCCCCTCTTAACTGTCTTATTCATTAGGCCAAAAAATGATACATTTTTCATGGCCAAAAGAAATATTGAATTTTCAAAAATGAATGAAACTAAAGCGATGACTCAACATATTGCGTGCAGGCCGACGCAAGATATTATTGCGCCGCCCTTATTGCTGCTCAGTTTTCAGCCTTGCCTAAATTGCCTATATTGCCTATATTGCCTATATTGCCTAAATTGCCTCACCCTCCCTTCCTTGGGTTGCGGAAAAGAAATTCACTTGGCGCTTTCGCACGAAAAAACACAATTTTTTGATTTATATTTCACTTTTAAATTCATATTATATTATTTTTTCAATTTAAATTGTTATCCTCGTTATTAAACGCTAAATTATGCTTCAAGTAAATAACAGTGGGTGACGACAGATGCTTTTTATTAGGTAAACAAAAAAAACTGTTGAAAAAAACAGCGGCGCCCAACAGAAACGGCGTTCAACAGGAGCGGTCTCGCCGTTTTCTTTACGACTTCGCTGGTCGCTAATGGACGACGCGCGGCGATTGTTCTGCTGTGCGTCGTGCGTCAGCCTTACGACGCAGCAGGTCGGGAACGCCGGACGCTGGAACGCTGAACGCTAGAAGCTTCAGTGCTAAATCTTTGAATGCTGAACGCTGGAGCGTTGAATGCTAGAACGCTAGAACGACAATCGCTGAACGCTGAAACGCTGAACGCTAAATGCTAGAACCCTGGAACGCTGGAACGCTAGAAGTTTCAGTGCTAAATCTTTGAATGCTGAACGCTGGCGCGTTGAATGCTAGAACGCTAGAACGACTATCGCTGAACGCTGCGCAGATGTAGAGGTTTCTGCTGGGAAAATGATACCTGAGTGAGAGTGATTGTTTTTGGGAAGGCGACATTTTGGTGTCGGAGAAGCTGATTGCGACAGAGAGGGGATTTTTGTGTGAAAAAATTACCTTTTGCCAGGGAGAGATTACGCTACGGCTGATGTTACAGCAGCCGTGCAGCCACTACGGCTGAGGTTACAGCAGCCAGCCGTGCAGCCACTACGGCTGATGTTACAGCAGCCGTGCAGCCACTACGGCTGATGTTACAGCAGCCGTGCAGCCACTACGGCTGATGTTACAGCAGCCGTGCAGCCACTACGGCTGATGTTACAGCAGCCGTGCAGCCACCGCAGTTTCCTCTTCTTTGTGCAGTCTCAGCGCAGAAATTTTTCCACGTAATTTTGAAAGTTCTTTGGAGCGTCAACACATGAATTTAAAAAGACCTAAACTGATATCAATGTTCTTGTCTTCGAGCAATTGATGTGAAACTTAAAATATGCTAGGTTCGTGCTGTGTCTTACTTTTTTAATCACAAATACAATTCGTACAACAATTTCGCAAAGTAATAATAATTTTTATATGTGAGTTTTGGCGCCGCGGTTCCTGCTATTTTTGATGTATGTGCATATAATGTCTAAATATAATAGCACCTGTTCGGTTAATGATACTTACGGTGTCTTATTATTGCGAAATTTGGATATTTTGCCGCTCTCTAACTTCTAGTTCGGTTTTATTATCTTTTTATTTTAAGATTTCATAGATTTCATTTGAAATCGTTCCCATGTAAAGAATAATTTTTCGACGGAACTTCCCTTGGAAAACCTGACTGAATTTTTTTCCCGAAGCCTTTCTCTACTAAATGAGTGGAACGATGAAAGTTTATTATGATACAATGAAAGTCATGATATTGAGTAACCTACTTGATAAAAATATGAACCGTTTTATGAGCGGCAGTTGAATCGGTGCCGTTCTGTCGGCTCTAACACGGCCCTAATTTTCATTAGGGGTTAGCAAAGACTTGCTAAACTTCCACGCTTCATTGCAAGTTCGAATCCAATCGCTCATCGTGATGGATTTCAGCGTGTAAAAATGGAATTCTGTGAGAAATCTTTAGCGCAAGTTTGCTACGAGGCAATAAGTATATTGCTTCTGCCTGTCATAGATGAGTTAGGGAACGATAGCAATGACCGAAAGATTTGTTATAACACGTTCATTGAAATAATACAATATTATATTTTTAAATGATATATTCAACATTTGGACAATATGAATTATAATTTTTTATGAGTGTGTGTACACGAGAGACTGGCGGCATGATTATTTACATTATTATATATTATATTATATTTAATAAGATAATGCATAGCAAAGTTAACCAGTGATTCAACAACAATATGAACGAGACTGTATAAGAGTTCTTTGTTTCTAACTATATTTTATCGATGTATATATGTTATAATATAATATTATTATATATAATAATATTTGTATAATATTTGTATATTTTACATATATCGATGATTTTTACTTGTAACAGTGCATTTTGGTTTACGCCAGCAAGTTTAAGATGTTAGAAGTTATTGATTTGTTCAAGTCTGAGTAAAAATGAAGGCAGGTATATGACTCAGCGGCAACCGAGCATTCCGGTGACCAGATTTTCGATGGTCACGGATGGTCACGGACGGTCACGGATGGTCACGGACGGAGAATTGAAATTTGTCAGTTTCAAGCTAGCGGGCGGCGTGCGGTTGAGGCCCCTACATCGACGGCCTGGCCAAGCCTCCTGCATCGCCTGGCCAAGCCTCCTGCATCGCCTGGCCAAGCCTCCTGCATCGCCGGACCAAGCCTCCTGCATCACCTGACCAAGCCTCCTGCATCGCCTGACCAAACCTCCTACATCACCTTTTCATTGAATATAACGATGCGATGTAGTTAATTATGATAAGCGGTTGAGGTGCGATGATGACGCTGGGCATCACTGCTTCACCACATCATGAAGTGGTGAAGATGGTGATGATGAGGGTAATGGTGGCTTGATATCGAGGCACATCATCTGTATGATGGCGATATAGGGCTGTTCTTTTGACCAAACCCATGCAGCCATGGTTGAATTAATAATTAATTCAACCATTCATGCAGCTACCTCCGAACAAGCGATGTCATGCTCACCATTAAAACTATTGTGAACCTAACTTAGCATCTGGCTACTCCTACTGAAGTAGTAACATCATATATTTATGTGTGTAGGATGTGTTACTCATACGTGTGAGGCGTGTAGGATATGTTACTCATACGTGTGAGGCGTGTAGGATACGTTACTCATACGTGTGAGGCGTGTAGGATATGTTACTCATACGTGTCTCTCTTACCCTACAGCTCACCGACCTCGCACTGCTCATTCTGACGACTTCTGCTCACTCTCCACTCTCCCTCCCACTCTAAAAACTCCCCCACTCCTAAAACACACTCACCACTCGCCCACTCTCAAGTCCCACTCCAGCGCCAGTATGCGGCTGTTCAGGCGTAGAGTGGTTCACGTCCACGACCCTGGCTGTAAAGTCCACAATCCCACATGTGGACCAGGGAGAGGTGCTTCACACGGTTCAGTGGCCGCCGGTTCACACGGTTCAGTGGCCGCTGGTTCACACGGTTCAGTTACCGCTGGTTCACACGGTTCAGTTACCGCTGGTTCACATGGTTCAAAGACAGCTGCTTCACACGGTTCCTCCCGCTTTGCTGGGCATGATAACAATGTTCAAGTTTCATACGGAAAACGAAATCCTTGTCAAAAAAGCAATTTAAATGAAGATTCACGCGGCCGAGACAATAATTACTCACAAAAAACGAAAAACCGTGGTTTACAAGGCGCCAACAATATCGGTTCTCAATGCACCAGAAACTATGGTTCTCAAGGTTCCAGCAACACTGGTTCTCAAGGTTCCAGCAACACTGGTTCTCAAGGTTCCAGCAACACTGGTTCTCAAGGTTCCGGCCACACTGGTTCACATAGCAAACCAAATAATGGTTCTCACAGCCTGACTTACGTTCACCCCAGCCTGATGCGAGGTTCACAACAGGACACGGATTGCCTAAACTCACCGTAAGTGTACGAACAAATCTAACTCTGTAAAAATTATGTTCATTCCTGGAGAATTATCTGAATTTGGCTTAGCAGATATTTACTGCAGTGCCTAGCTTTTTGTCCAAAAATTTATTGATAAGCGGTCTGAAGAAACGGTTGCTAACATTCATTTGTACGCCTGAATTTATGTAGCGTATTTGTTTACTAAATCAATGTTGTAATCAGGATATTAATGGTTTAAACATAATGTGAACTGATAAAAGCGTTTACTGATAACAGAACTCGCACAGCGTACAAACAAACTTGGTTCAACGTTACTAAAATATTCTATATAGCCGAAAAAATAATCTTAAGTCACTAAATATGATATGGAATTATGAAAATTGATGTTGGCAAAATAGAACAATTGATACTGACAACGAAGCAACTATTCCTCACAATATCGTAAACTGTTGCTGTACAGTAAATAAGAGATCACATAAAGTGAAGTAGTTTACCGGCACAATATTTTAAACACCGTCAAAATTCTAGAAAACTGTCGTTAATACATTAATAATAATTATTATCACAATCAAGTAACTTACTTCACAACTAAAATATTTTATTGCCCGCAGACGAGTCGTGTCGGTGGGGGGTGACATCAGCTCCCCCACGCCCCCCCACCAGCTGGGGGAAGACAGCCACACCCCCAAGCCTGGTAAGTGTCTACACTCAATAAAATGACTGGAGCTTTGTAAAAATAGCGATGCATGTTTTGCTCTGGTGTTCATATTTTATCCAGACCATGCACTTAGTCTCGACAAAAGGAAGTAGCAAAGTGCAAAAGTGTGTCACAAATCAGACACTATACTGTAGTTAACCCTCAACTACCATGGTTGTTACGATAGGTTAAATCCGCGATGAGGAGAATTTAGCGACTGATAATACTCATTTACGTATTTATATTGCAATTGTCTGGTTAGTTGTCATGGTTTTAAGTGTTTCCAAACCCTTACCGTACTCTTATGGCCGATCGAGCTCCGCGGGGCTGTTCAAAAATCTACCGATCAAATGGCGCAGAAACCTGCGAAAATTCCGCAGAAACTTGCGAACCGACGAATATATGCGAATGATTCTTCCCATCAATATTTATTGAAAACCCGCGATGAAGGGAAGCTGCTGTAGGTGAAGTGTAGTATTACTGTATTACCCATTTATTTTTCCAGCCTTAGTACGACAACATTCATTAATAATATTTGACTAGTAAGGAGGGAGACGGATTCGAAATGGATTTTCAGAACTCGCTGTAAAACTCACGTATTGACTGCAGCGTGGGAGTTGCACGTATGGAATGGGCAGTCATGCCCATTCCATATCATTGCCCGTCATCGTGTAGTTCGTTGTACTACTATATATCGTGGTTGTTACTAATTTATTAAAATGAATCAAAACGTGACAATTGTTAAGCAAGACAGTTATTACCTTGACAGTTATTACCTTGACAGTTATTACCTTGATAGTTATTACCTTGACAGTTATTACCTTGACAGTTATTACCTTGACAGTTATTACCTTGACAGTTATTACCATGACAGTTATTACCATGACAGTTATTACCTTGACAGTTTTGCATTGACAGTTATTACCTTGACAGTTATAGCCATCCGGAGCGACTCTTTCTTATACACATTACATATATAAATAACGGCACGCATATATTTAGGACCATGTCGGTACGTAGCGCCTTTTTCTTATTTCTTATACACATTTTAAATAACGGTGCTCTGTTATTTAGTAGCTTGCCATTACGTAGCACCCTCCCGCTACGTTACCGCAGATCGTCTCGTTCCTGCCAAATGGCGTCGAATTGCACGCCGCGTCCACCTTAAAGAGCGGCCGTAGCGCGTGCGAGAATTTCACAGCGAAAAGTCGCTTACCATCCGACTTTCCGACCGACTTTTCAGCCAAATTTTCTACTGAATTTCTGAACAACTTTCCAGCTAAATTTCTGACCGACTGCCTAGCCGACTCTTCGGCCAACTTCTCAGCCAATTTTCGAATCAAATTTTCAACCGAATTACTGACCAACTATACCCAACCGATTTTGCGATCAACTTCTCAATCATCATTCTAACCAACTTCCCAACTGACTTTCCAACCGGCTTCGCAACCGAGTCATCGATTGTGCTTTTGACAGCTTCCTAGCTGGATTTTACACTGATTTCTGATAGGCGATGCGAGTGGATTCGGCACCGAATTTGCGAGGGTGTTTCCGACCGACCATCAATCGGTAGAAGAATGTAAAAGCTTAACAAGAAAACGACAACTTTGCGGTTGGTGAGCTCGTTAACCTACTTACTTGCAATGACCGAAGACCTTGCGACCTGCGATGACTTTGCTGCGTGCTTTGCATCGCTGCATGACGATGCAACATACGGAGAAATTTTGCATCACTTACGGTCGCATCGCACCGGGCTTGTCGGCAGCTATGCCAGTATGCAACATTGCAGCCTATGTACTGCCTGTACATAGCGGTGCAGCAGCCAGTATTAAGAAGTTCTATGGCCAGTAAAACAGTAAACGCAGTTCAACAGTACACCTCGCTTGCACAGCTCATCATCACTACACAGCCACTATATAGTACATGTACATCCATTACACAGCATCGAAAGTAAGCTTCCTACTTTTGCTTGATTCTAGCTAAAAATTTTGCCCGTATCTTTTAAAATTTCATTCCGGCCTTTTAAAATTTCATTCTGGCCATGCGAAAGGTTTTACCTAAGACGCATTACTCGTGACTTGTTGAAAATGACATTAGTTCGTGTCACTCATTCAAGCACACACTTCCGGTGGTTTATGCGTCTAATGCACTCGAAAATTCGTGACATTTACGTGCAATTTTTGTGACATTCGTGAGTTCATTCCATGACGTTACACATATTATTAGTGGAATTCATTTGTAAATTTTGGGTCATATAAACAAAATTGTTGGCAAATTTCACGCCAACGTAACGTGACACCCAGCGGCTTTTAACGTCTCGTTAAATCGTGAACTTTATTACGTTCGTGACGTTGGATGCGGACGCAAGACCGAGCGTCTCGACGTGTAGACGTCAAAACACGACCTTCGTTATACGGACTTCAGTTGTACGTCGTCTGGACATGTGACAAACGTACGGCGTGACGTCACGTACGGTTTGTTCGTTATTTGCATCAGATTCTGGCATTCCGTCAGTCTACATAAAATGCGCTTGTGCAACAAGGACAATTTATGTGCATCAAATTTAAATCGTGTTGACGTAAAACGACTTAATAGCGCTATAAGTCGACGAAATTAGCCACGAACGGCATAATATGTCGGCACAATAAGCCATGAACGACACAATGCGCCGATGCAAAAAAAACTCATACCATAAAAACCATAATTAATGCAATGAATGATTTTATATTCTGAATATAAATATTTTTGTGTCAGGACTGGCGACGTGGGGGCGGCGGGTGGGGCGGCGTCTGGAGCAGCTCGCCAGGGCCCCCAGCAGGGAGAAGGTCGCGGCCACCCCTGGGGATGATGGCAGGTCTTGAGAAATAGAAATAATTTTAGAAATAACTTTATCAAGTAATCATAGAAGAAAAAATGGATTAGGATGTGGATGCATAAAAGCCCCATTATGTGCAACGATAAATTCAAGTTATCTTAGTTGCAAGTGAACGCACAGTACAACTCATGTTTATAAGTCGCTGATTATTAGTATTATCGTTCAAAGTGTGCAATATTTGTAACTAATACTAATACATTTATTTATTTTGTTTGTAGTTCAGTCAAGATGTCTTGGTCCTTACGAAGACGATCTTCAGGACCCAGTTTCTTCGCTACTTCGGGTCCTCCTACATCGGCGACTTCGACCCCAGTCATGTCCCGGTCTACGTCAACGTCCCGCATCAACAACGAATCTACAGACCACCATCATCATCAGAATCATCATCATACCGATCGTCTCGAAATGATGACTTCCATAGCATCCAATGACTACATCCCAACTAAGACTGTGAGCTGCGAGAACATTCCGATTACTGCTGAAGTGAAATCGAATTTTCCTCACGCGTTCCTTAGATCGAAGCCTCCTCGGTCTGGATCAATGTCCAGGCCTGCTTCAGCAGCTCTTCAGTCTACTGAAGTCACGGGCAGTAAAGCACCTCAAGAGCCCAAAAAGAATCCCAGTGAGCGAGGCTCGCTTTCTGATATCAGGGAGGCTCTGCGTCAAAAGTTGAAGGCCGTGTCAGAGGAAAACTTTCCGTTGATGTGGTGGAGGAAGAATCAAACTTCATTGAAATCGAGACTCAATTCCAATTTTTCGCGTACGAAGAACCAAGAAAGATCGGCGTCTACGCAGTCTATGAACGCGGACACTCTTGTTTACCACAGCCCCGTGACTGCAAACCTCTCGAACATGACGAACCGTTTGTCGAAAAACGCACAAAATCAACTAAATGTCCCTGGAAATCGTACATCTTTATATATGAGCAGCACTGAGAGTGGCTATGAAAGTGAAAGTTTAGGACTACAGGCAAGGTTGCGTAGAAAACTGAAAAAAGTTGAGAGTGACGTAGACTCTGGAGTCAGTTCTGGAAGTCCGTCCGAAACCAACTCCGATTCTGGTTCATTTACGAGCAATGACTTATCTTTCGATCACAATTCTAAAGCCGATACAAATTCATTGAAGAACAGTTCTGTAAATCAACGGAACTTGACGAAGAGGCTTCAACTGCCCAAAGGAACAGACATTGCTACGATTGGGTTTTGTAAGTGCCCTCCTGATGCGAACGAAACTTCTAAACTTAATCTAACTGACGAAGAAAAGATGGTACCTGCGTTATCTGAAGACATCCACCCGGTCTTACCCGAGCCAGCAAACATTACATCTTTGCGGCACAAATTTCTCGTATCGCAACTAAATCGTCAATATTTATCCAAGCCTTATCCGGCTGGTAGCCAATCCTACGACACAAGCTCCCTCGACCACTTCAGCCATCAGAGGGGAGGGTACGATTTTGGAAGGACTTTGCAAACAGATGGAAGTTCAGAACGCTGTCGCAGTGACTCCCCTCACACACGTTCGCCATTATCTTTACCCTCACTTTCTTTACCTTTATCGAGTTCTTCCTCTTTGTGCTCTCACGTTACTCCCCCACGTACCTTCAAAATGATCAGACTCACCAAAGACGCGTCAGGAGAGCTGGGTATTTACATCACAGCTAAAAGGAACAACATGGGAGTTACGACAGGCTATGTTATCGCCCACATCGAGCGAGGCGGTCTAACCCACAGGTAGGAAGTATACAAAGTTTTCAAGTGTAATTCGTTTGAAATTCTGTCATTGGTATATTTGATTAACATCGATTTGTCCACAGTCGGACTGATTCATTTGATCTAGCAATAACAGAGGATCTTTATTATTCTTCTTACAGAATTATTTCTGGGACAAAAGTCTTAAAATGTCGAAACTATCCTTTCTCTAGCGCGTCGTGTATGTTTAACAGGCCGTTTTATTTGATTCAATCATAATATTTTTAAAAGTAGCTAATGTGCGAATTTAAAAAAAAAAGAAGAAATTGTTGCTATATTGTTCCAAATACTCGTATAATCTTAAAATGAAGATTTGTCAGGCATCAAAAGGTTGAAGGTTCTTTAAATCAAACGATTTTCAACATGAATTTTGTAATTAAGGTGAAGCAGTTTTCTTTTATTTTCACCTAACTGCTAAGCTCAAACCCTAAAAAAATTTGGGTACCGCCTACGCGTCGGTCGAATAATCACTACACTCGGCGCAAAGTTATTCTGTGACTTCTTGGCCACCCAATCGAAATCAGTTTCTGGTCAGTTTCTCCTATTCGACTTTATAGTCGCCTGAGAGTCTGAGAAGGGTTGGCCGAGCCGAATCGTACCGAGCTTGCAAGCTGCCCAGAGGCTGCCCTTCATGCCCTTGGCCGAAGCGGACATGCCCTGAACAGAAGCTGACAGAGAAGCTGATAGAGAAGCTCTTCGTATCCTAGGCGGCCCTAAATTTTGTTGCGGAATAATGTCTGACGAGCCGCCTTGAACTGCGGAAAAATTGGAATTGTTTATATAAGTTTTTTATTAATTCATTGATGAAATTAATCATTTGTGCGTTCATGATTGCGATTATGTACGTTGTGGAGTATTAATACATTCATATGCTCGCAGGGACGGCCGATTACGCGTGGGCGACGAAATAATCAACGTCGCTGGACAGAGGCTGCGTGGCGTCTCTCTGGACGACGCTCGAACCATCCTGCGCACCACCTGCCGTCAGGTGGACATCGTTGTAGCCAGGGACCTGGAAAACCACCAGCTGCCTTACCAGGACCAGCTGTCCCCTCAAGAAGAGCAGCACCAACCATACCAGGATCATCAGTCAACGTTATGCACAGGAAATGATGGATTTAGAAGGGCGGATGTCATGGTTGACGATGGACAGTTCACTTCCACTCCAGGTGAACGGTACTCTGATATCAATGATCGCAGTCCATCAAGGGCCAGCCGCAGCCCCCATGAATATTTCAGGAGTATTTCGTCCAGTTCTCCAACAAGGCTAAAAGATTTTCCAGAACCCGATGTCTACAGGAACAACATTGGAGTAAAGAAAACCAGATCAGATTTCACTGACCTAAACAACTACGATGAATCAATGAAAACTGGAAAATTATTCAGTAAAGTATCGGCTTCATCGAACGAACCTGCATCGATGACTTCACCAACCTACGGATCGTTTGCGGATCCCTTCGATCTTGAGGAATTTTCTTACGCTTCTTTGCCGCCACAAAATTTACGCCGACTCCCCGATAGCTCTGAATCTCGTAACGGAAGTGAGCTGACAGAAGCCAGATATAGGAGCGCACATTCCTCCCAGGCGTACAATTTACCACGGTATATTGATGGTCAGCCCATCTACTCATCCAACTTTGACGTTAGTCAAATTTCGTCAGAATCAAGACTATCTCCTACTAAATCTATGTTTTCTGATCAAAGGCGCAAGCCTCTGCAGCCCAGTTACGACCAAACCACCAGTATCGCAGAACCCGATCTTATGTCCCGGCCCGACAACATTCAAGGATATTCTAACAGAAACCTCGAATCTAATTCTAATAGTACAGATTCTTTATCGAACTTCCCTAACCTCGATCGACCTGCTGACCTGGACCCAGATCCCGTTAACACTTCGCACAAGAAGGAGTTCGGCATCAGGCGTCAGGCTCCCGTACACAAATGGCAGAGATCGCTCAGCGGCGGACGCATCATGCGCAACAGCTTTAACGGATCCGCAACGTTGCTCCCTAAAAGACCGAAGAGTTTGGCGCTGAGCGTCAAGACTGTCGTGTTCGAGAAGGGGAGAGGGCGCAAGAGTCTGGGCTTCTCGGTCGTGGGAGGACGAGACTCCCCCAAGGGGAGTATGGGCATCTTCGTCAAGACCATCTTCCCTAATGGACAGGCAGCTGAAGGAGGGAAGCTCAAAGAAGGTGAATAGAATAATCTGATGTGCAATGTTTACCCATATGTTGTTATTCTATATTTAAGTCAAGTCATAACTGTTAATTGTTTGAAATCGAAAAAAGAACTTGACAGGAAAGGCGAAGAAAGGAATACCAGAGAATATTTTTCACGGTATGACTTTTTAATGTCGGTACTTAAATCAGTGAGAAATATTGTCCCACTCTACTGCCTAATATTGTCCCACTGTGCTTCCTAATATTGTCCCACTCTACTGTCTAATATTGTCCCACTCCACTGCCTAATATTGTCCTACTGTGCTTCCTAATATTGTCCCGCTCTATTGCCTAATATTGTCCCACTCTACTGTCTAATATTGTCCCACTCTACTGCCTAATATTGTCCCACTGTACTTCCTAATATTGTCCCACTCTACTGCCTAATATTGTCCCACTCTACTGTCTAATATTGTCCCACTGTGCTTCCTAATACTGTCCCACTCAATTGAATAATATATTGCGAAGGGCGGTTTATTGAAGGGTGGCTTTGTGAAGTGTGATATCAAACCCTAACCCCCCCCCCCTCCTTCTACGTTGGGGGTTAAGCGATTTGCATGGGTGGCTTCCGACGGTCTGGTAACCGACGAGCCTCTAAAGATTTTTGGTTCATCAAAATGTGGAAAGTTTTACATTTTTCAAGTGATCGACATTCTGTGTAAATTTTTCATTTGAATTCCATCATATTTTCAATTTTTCCTAATTCCATCGTCTTGATACGCTTTTTTTTTTTGTCTTCGACGTTTTCTTCTTCTTCTCTTCTTGCGGCCAATTTATTCCGTCAATTTTACGCGTCATAGCCCCGCTGCCTCTCCTGCCTCCCTTCCGCCCCTTCCCTAATCCTATATCCGTCTCCCTCATTCATCCCATCTTCGTCTCCCTCATTCACCCCATCTCCGTCTCCCTCATTNAGTAGTTTTTAACAATAAAAATTTGGGTGCAATAAAATAACGAAAACATAGAAGTAAAACACACAAACCATTTTCATTTTAAAGGCATTAATCATCAGGTTTTGTTCAATCCATCGTCGTTTATTTCTTTGCTTACCTCTCTTCAACATCTTCCTATATTACATGTTTTTTTACAAGATTTTTCTTCATTTTCCCTGTTCGTGCTCCCTTCATTTTTTTTCACTTCCCCTCACCCTCTATTCCCTCACCCGTAGCCCTCTCCTCCCCCTTGCCATGCACTGCTGTTATTGGTGTCCCGCTGCTTCCTCCTTTCATCCTCCCTCTCGTCTCTCCTATGTTATGTTCTAAGCCTTCTTTTCCAACAAGATGGCCGAAACCAAAGTCAATTTATTCATAAAAAATTGATCCCCCCCAAACAAAGATGCTTTTTCGTACACGCAATTAACTTGAATAACTAATCGTAAAATTTACCCGAATCTAAAATAAACCCGAACATAAAATTACCCGTATGCAGGTATTATTGTTATAAATTCTGCAGCACCACAGCGCACAACATCAAACACAATACGCAGCACCACGCAGCACCACGCAGCGCCACACAGCACCACACAGCACCCTGTCTCTTATACACATCTAGATGTGTATAAGAGACAGGTGCTGATATAGGCGCCGTGGTACTGATATAGGCGCCGTGGTGCTGATATAGGCGACGTGGTGCTGATATAGGCACCGTGATGTGTTCGCTAATTCATTAAATTTTTTGTTCAGTAAATCATTCGAAGCAATTCATCTAACTCATTTATCAATATGTGTTATGTTCTCGTTATAAAATGTATAAGATATGAATTAATGTTACAATACATGAAATATATTTCAGGAGAGTAACTAATTTCATCGAATATTGTCGTTATAATATGAATAAGATATTATATAATGTTACAAGACATGAAATAATATTTCAGGAGACGAAGTTCTGGCTGTCAACGGCGCGTCGATGGCCGGACTGAGCCATGCTGAGGCCATCTCTGTGTTCCGAGGCGTGAGGACAGGCAAGATTGTCCTCCACATTGTCCGCCGCAACACTGGCCATCACGGCACCATTGACCAGCCCTCCGAGGCCTGTGTGGAGGCCGGCGGCCACGAGTGAAGTGAACAGAATGGGATAAAATGCGTAAAGGAAGCGCCGCTCGGGAACTGAAATAACTGACAAACAAATACTTAAATTCGCGACTTTAATGGACCACGGAACGTTTGTTTCAACGTCACCGATGGACAGGGCGAAGGTACAAATGAGGTCAAATTCGTACGATTTGAATGAGAATTTATTTGAGTTGGTTTGCCTAGGATATGCAGTTCGATGACGCTGGCTGTCATCGAACTGTGCAATTAGTTCAATCACTCATATTAATGCCTATAAAATTTTCTTGTTTAAAGATATTGTAGTTATAAATCACGCTCTCAAATCTACACATTTATTTAAATTATGAAATTGAATGAGGTACTTCGGTATATCTGCTTGTATAAAAATAGAATCATTTGTATACATTTTAAACAGAATTCAGTTGCTTTGTATATATGCTTGTACCCATATACACATATTTGCGTAAACTATTAGATGGGATGAGATGTCCTGATTTACTACTTGTATAAAATAACACATTTGTATATCAGTTATTCAAAAACTCGTATGCTGCTCAGGCAGCACTAAAACAAACACCTGACACGTTGGTTTGACGTCTTAAGCATTTTTGCTGAAAAAAATATGATGTCTTAGAAAATGTTTCAATTTATTTAACAAATGAGGAAGTGTACATAGTTTATGTATGAATGCTTTAACAATATTAATGTATTTATTGATGAGCCTTTGATGAGAAATGTAATCGATAATATCTATACCATTAATTACATTTTTATATAAATTTTCAAGGTATGCATCTATAGCTCATGACAAGTGTTGTTCAAATCTTAACTTTACCCTACTATAATTAAGTGTGATTATTTGTGAATAATTGCAAACTAATTGCCTTTATATGAATAACTATGAACTACTTTAGTGGTATCACGCAGAAAAATGGGCGAGACTTGTCCAAAAAGTGATGCTTTTTTGCTCTTTTGTGGGCTTTCCTGACCCAGTTTGGCCCAACATTTGGGTCTATTAATATGATAAAAAATATAACTCAGTACTCACTGCAGTGAGTGACAGAGAGCGCATTTTCTCGTCGACGAAAACTTGAGGTCACGGACGGACGGACAGACAGGCAGACGGACATGGCGAGCACAATAGTGCATTTTTTCCATAAATGAGAAAATGCGCTAAAAAGTGTGTCACTTTTGGACAATATCACACCGCCAATCATATGGGATAAGCCATTCTTTTTTTGTCGCCGAAAGATTGTTTGCATTGTTTTCTTGTGTTAACATTGTTGTCCCCTGTTTGCGTCTGTGTCGATAATGTTTGAGATTTGTTGTCCTGATGCATGTGTTGTCCAGATAATTCATACGATTTTCGAATCCTTTAATCCCGAATCCCGTCACTAATAATAATAAAGCTTATCTATTCATGTTAATTAAGACCTCATCTAATGTACACTTTAAATAGAAGATTGAACTCTCATTTTATTCCCGTTCCAAACTATATTAGGAACTATTAACGCCTCTTCAATTAAATTTATATTTAACCATTGTAACCTCAATTATTCAATTTTTGATCCAAAAGATACGATGTCACTAACTTCTCATTACTATCAACAAAAAATTTCCAACCAATGATGAGTTTTAATCTCCTTTGTAATTGTAAGCATTCCCTTACTTCGGTGACAACCCACCGATGTTTGTGCAGAAACCGAAATTTCGTGTCATAATAACAGAAGGTCATGTGTAACAGTTTAAGTGGGTCAAAAATGTCATTTGGTGAGTCATAATGTCTAGTTTAGTGGGATAATAAGCCTTCATTTATTGGGTGGATTATCCAAACTTAATTTTACAGGTACCAAGGTACCAGGTTGTTAGTACTTTAGCCCTGCTTACCCATGAAAGGCTGGTGCAGCTTAATATATTCAGTGTTTGCTGAAGGCTTAAATATTTAACGTTTTCGTTACTGCGCGGCTTGTTAGCGACCGACAGCTTCTCCTTCATTACAGAAAATGCTAATAAAGTTGGCGCTATTTGACAATAATTTCACGTATGTGTTTGTTAAAAGCGTTCATCCTCATTTCTTGTAAGCTGACGCACTAAAGTAAGAATTCACCTGAGCTGGCGAATTTATTTATTTATTGAAGAAAGTGATTATGCCGATGGCTCGAGAAAAAGCTCCACATTCCGTGTCATTTTCAGTTCGTGTGACAGTTGAGTAAGGTGTATATGTCGACCTTCCGACAATCCGGTAAGAATTATTATTCGCTATTTGTTCATGGTTTGTTTACTTAGAATATTAGGCAATTATTCAGATTCCATAGATTTTTTATATTACGTGTTTTGCATGGATTTTAACAAATTCGTAAATCAGCGATCCGAAACCGTGTCTTCATTACTGACTTCTACGAACCTAAACATTCGGCATGCCAGATTATTTACAGTGTAGCTACGAATTATGCTTCTCTTATGCTCTAGTTTCGATGGAGTACTAAAAAAATAATGGCTCGTAATGTCTAAATAATGATATACAATATTTACTGTACGTAGCTCTAATACGCCATTTTACAAGGCCAAACTGGTGTAAGATTACCCATTATTACAGCCTCCCCGATGACATCGTTGGCGCTCCAAGTATGAACGCGTTCAAGAACAGACTAGATAAAGCTATGGAAAAATATATGTTCAGATTTGAAATGCCTAGCTCCTTATCGAACCCGGTGGAAGTCTAGTAGCTACTTCAAACTATCGTCAGTCATGAAAAGATCCGGTCAAATGACACGATTTTAGATCTTCTGTGAACAAGGCACGAAAAGGAAAAGAATCGGCGACAGGACACATCAGGCCTACACTTCAGCGCCGAGATCAATATGTTATGTTATGTTATGTTATTACTAACTCGAAGGAAAAAATGCAAAAATGCAGGGAAAAATGCAGAAAAGAAACTAAGTCAACTTAGTGGGTCTATTAATGGATCAAAACGAGGCAATGCGTTTGGAGCGGGCCAGGCATGCCAATAAATAAAAAGAAATTGTGTTTGGTTTTATCCTTTGGCGGTGCGGAAAGTCTGGTGTTTAGGAGCCTCGTTTGGTGGGATGTTCACAGCTTGGGGACTTCGGAACACTCATACAAATGAATGAATTATCTTGTCCAAATAGTGACACACTTGCTGCACGTGGCATTAAAACGACTTAGTGCTGGGTGAAAATGTGACAGTGTGACCCATACAAGAGAAAGACGTGCATCGATAATGGCACAAAGTTTCTACATTTTTTCTGAGTGAAGGTTGGGGAGCTTGTATGCCCTGGGGCAGGGAGAGATGGGGAGGTGGGTGAGTATTGGTGGGGAAGAGAGAGAAGTGGACCAGCACTCAAAGATATAAATGAGGCTGTGTCTAAATGGCGATGCACTTTTCGCCATTTTGCAAGTCATCTTACCCGAGTTTTGGCCCTGCGAATGCGCGTTTCAAAGCTACGTCCGCTTTATACTCTTAGTGAGTAAGAAAAAATGTGTCACTATTTGGACAATATGACCCAATTATATTTTTAGTGGGAATCGGCACATTTCGAGAGATTGGGGATGTTTGTATGCCCTGGGGAGGGGGAAGGTGGTGTACCAGCTAATTGTGGACGATATTAACATACAATACTGCTCTATGAGGGTAATATTGACCGACTAATTGTGGACGATATTAACCTACAATACTGCTCTATGAGGGTAATATTGACCGACTAATTGTGGACGATATTAACCTACAATACTGCTGTACAAGGGTTTTTCTTACCAATATTGCGGAGATATCTACCATTATTACATTCGTTTTAAGGAAATTTTAATTAATTGTATCGGTGATATTGACCGATGTTATTTAAAACAATATCATCACGTGTGGATAATAGTGATCAATTTTAGGATCATATCATCGGCTGTGGCTGATATTGGATGAAATAAAGCTAAGAGCGATGAGTTGGACTGAGTAGCTGACAATGATACACAACTATTGGAAATATTTACATCTACCGGACAGACATCTACTTCCTAGCCTGTATCGCCTTGCCGCGGTAGGAACCAATCTACTTCTTAACGAGGCTCCTCTATTGATGCAGGACCCAATCTACTTAACAGCTCCGTGGACGCGGCGACGTCAACAAACTCTACGGAAATTAGACGCCAACCTAGAAACTGAAAAATTTTGGTGCCGAGCGCTGAGAACAAAATGCCTGTTGATGTAACAGCTATGATGTAACTGTATTTTTAATTAATGAGGAATTAGTGAGAGATACAAGTGTAGATGAAGGTGAGTGGTAAATGACGCGAGTAAAGGAGAGTGAATAAAATGAAAATTATAGTGTTATAGATTTAAAAGGAGAGTCCTTTAAATAGAGAATATATATTTTGTATCTTGCCAAAATTTGTCAGCCAGATTTTCCTTCTATTGTTCGAGTCAATTTTGCAATATTTATTTATACTTCTATTAACTTTTTTATACCTGCGTTCATTACAATAATTCAGGAATTCTAACTGAAATTTGCCCAGTTTCTTTACTGGAACTTTTTTTTTTTTTTTTTTTTAAGACAGACTTCTCCATTTCGCGGCCGAGCTGCCGGCCGAGAAATGATCCCATGGACGCGTGATAGATCCTTTGAAGTCATCAACTCCTGCCCCGCGAGATCGAAGATCTACGCAGATCTCTGCGGATCCCATGATCTATCCTGCGAAATCCTGCGTGGCTGCGGAGCAGCAATATCGTGTCTCATTCTCAGTGCCTCACACTGCTCCATTTAGACAAAGTTACACTTACTTTTCTGAGTGCTCCTTGCTAGTAAATAGGGTGAGCGTTTTAGGTTCGTGAGCTGCGCAGTGGTATTCGGAGGTAATGGTTAATTTCTTAGGTAATATAATTAGACAGGGTCATTTCGCTCAGGAGGTTATGGATTATGGTACTGAGTGTTAAAATTCGGCAGTAGTAATGGAAGGTAACAGAGTATGGTATTAGTTAATAGAAATCGATAGTGCTAATAGGAGGTAATAAAATTATGGCATGAGGTAATGGAATATAGCATTGGTAATGGAAAGAAAGTGATTTTGTTATAAGTTAGTGGATATGGAAGGTAATGGATTATAGCGATGTAATGGAATTAGGTAATGAGTGAAGTTGGTTGGCTAGTCGACGATGTGCAGGCTAGCGTGTATGGCGGTAAAATCGAGGCGTTGGCCATGTATGTTCAAATATCATGTTTGAGGACATGATAATCTAGAGCGGAATGCGGCAGTTGCTTATAAACAAATATTTGTAGTGTCTGCTCTCTAGACTTTGCTTAGAACATAATATTCTAATCTAGAGCGGTGTACGGCAGTTGCTTATAAACAAATATTTGTAGTGTCTGTTCTGTAGCCTTTGTATTAATACATGATATGCTAGACCGCTGTGCGGCAGTTGCTCTTCGGTTACAGTTGTATCACTAGTTGCTCTTTTTCGACAGCTGGTTAAACATTTGTTCTCAAGTTGCTGTGTTACACATGTATTATTTGGCAGTTGTTTGAAGAAGTTGCAGAGATAAGTTTGGGGCCGCGGTTGCTATGCAGCGTACGCAGCTGTTGGAAAGCTGCCAAACACCAAATTTTAAGGAAATTTCAATTATGAGCGAATTTCAGCAGTTGTTAAGAATGTTTCTAAAGGTCTCAAAAGAAATTCAGCAGCATTCAGAAGAATTTAATCATTTTTTAAAAGAATTTCAGGAGCACGTAAAAGTATTTAAGAAACATTTAAGCAAATTTCAGCAGTTTTAAGAGAAAATCTTAACGGTTTTCCAACAATTTAAAACTAATAAATTCTGAGGTTGTTATCTCACTTGCGTCAAATTCAGTGGCGATGAATTCAGTCAGCGCCACATCCACCAGTCAGCGCCACATCCTCCAGTCAGCGCCACATCCACCAGTCAGCACGGCATCCACTAGTCAGCACCACTGAATCCAGTCAGCGCTACATCCACCAGTCAGCACCACATCCACCAGTCAGCGCCACATCCACCAGTCAGCACGGCATCCACCAGTCAGCACCACATCCACCAGTCAGCACCACATCCACCAGTCAGCACCACATCCACCAGTCAGCGCCACATCCACCAGTCAGCACTACATCCACCAGTCAGCGCCACATCTACCAGTCAGCGCTACATCCACCAGTCAGCGCCACCTCCACCAGTCAGCACCACATCCACCAGTCAGCGCTACATCCACCAGTCAGCGCCACATCCACCAGTCAGCGCTACATCCACCAGTCAGCACCACATCCACCAGTCAGCGCTACATCCACCAGTCAGCGCCACATCCACCAGTCAGCGCCACATCCACCAGTCAGCACCACATCCACCAGTCAGCACCACATCCACCAGTCAGCGCTACATCCACCAGTCAGCGCCACATCCACCAGTCAGCGCCACATCCACCAGTCAGCGCTACATCCACCAGTCAGCGCCACATCCACCAGTCAGCGCTACATCGCCACATCCACCAGTCAGCGCCACATCCACCAGTCAGCGCCACATCCACCAGTCAGCACAACATCCACCAGTCAGCACAACATCCACCAGCGGCTGCGGAAGTTCCGGTTGGCGTCGGCAGATCATAACCGGCAAACTTTATTCTTCCGCGGCCTCCAAAATCCTGAACTTTCCGCCTCGTTGTGTTTCGTAATGCTTTGTGTTTGTGTTGTGTTTTGTAATGCTTTGTGTTTGTGTTGTGTTTTGTAATGCTTTGTGTTTGTGTTGTGTTTCGTAATGCTTTGTGTTTGTGTTGTTTCGTAATGCTTTGTGTTTGTGTTGTTTCGTAATGCTTTGTGTTTGTATTGTGTTTCGTAATGCTTTGTGTTTGTATTGTGTTTCGTAATGTTCTGTGCATCGGTCATGTAAGCCGATTTAGTTTTATGTCCCGCTTGTATTTGTTACATGAAATTTTTAGAGATGTTGTCCTGTTTATGTTTGTGCGGGATTTTTTTACTTATAGACGCCTTGCAAGCTATTGCACAATTTTGGGTCCCACCCCTAATTTTGGGTCCCACCCCCTATCTCTCGGGCCAAGAGATTAGGTCCTACCGCTAACGCCTGCGTTAGTTTCACAAATCAGATTCACACATGCGTTGGACCACCGCTAACGCCAGCTTCTCGCATAATGCATGACTCCACTGGCTCAGGATGACCATGTCCTCGCTGCTTTGCTGTCCGCGTCGAAGAAGCTACATACCATTATTCTATTATATAATTGCCCTCGTCGTGTTCATTTCTCATGCCGCCCCTTTGTCCAGTTGCTGTTATTGTCCTGTTATTCCTATTTCCTGTTATTTCCCTGTTTCCTATTCCTGTTATTTTCTCTATTGCTCATGATCGCACATGTCACTCCCGAAAAAGACTACATATTTGCGGCCGAATACAATAGGTGGCCGAACAGCGTCCGATTAACTTCTAAGCCGTACGTAGTGAGCCTTTTTCGTCTCTGAAAGGAACCTAAATGTAGACGGAGTTGTGTCGATGTCAATCTTACGGTTTATATAGATAATAATGTTTATAATCACATCCAAAGCGGACCACAGTGGCAATCGTTGTCCTCATGCCCTGGGAGCGTCTGTGGCCCTATAGTGGCGATGTTTGTGCAGCGCGCGATGCCGCGGGCGCCGTGGCATCAAAACCAATTTCCCGACTCCGATGACGATGCCGGGACTCATGCATCCTAAACGAGGGACGGAGAGGGACGGAGAGGGATAAAGAGAGTGATGGAGAAAGACAGAGAGACTGAACCCTATGAGAAGGAACGAAATTGAATAGGGAAAACGGTGAGGAACGAATGCGGAAGTTTAATTGAGGCGCAAAAACATTTAATTAGATAATTAATTAGTTGTGTAACGAAATTCATCCCCGAACCCTTTCAATGCGATCGGGCGTGCATTATTACGCAATTCTCATTTCACATCTTCTTGTTGCACTCACTTCCTCCACAAGGCGTTGCATTGCAGTCTTGCCGAATCTCGTGTCAGCAAATTCTGCTGCAGCCTCGAGAAGATCAGTGATTGCAGATATACCGTGTATATCTGCATCCATGATATACAGTCCGTGTCTCTCTTGGGGAGACCGAGACTATTTCTCAGCTCGGTGAGGCCGAGGACTGTCTAATTCTACCCTCCAATCCACCCAATCCAATCTAATTCTACCCTCCGTCCCTAACTGACACTGAGGACTGTATGTATATTTTTACTCTCGGTGAGACTGAAGGCTGTTACTTTCTAAACTCGGTGAGACTGAGGGTTGTCTGTTTTTACCCTCGGTGAGACTAAGAACCGTCACTTTCTTAAATCTGTGAGACTGATGGCTGTCATTTTCTAAACTCGGTGAAACTAAGAACTGTTATTTTCTTATTTGGTGAGACTGAAGTCTCTATTTCTACTCTCGATGAAACTGAAGGCAGTTTCCCTCAGTGAGACGGAAGGCTGTCTATTATTCCCCTCACTGAGGATGAGGACTGTCTGTTCCTCCCCTTGGGGCTGTCTGTTCCTTCATAGGTTGTGTCGAGTCAGCAGCAAAGTCGTTGCACGAGCTCGGCTATGCGGAAATCAAAAGCGATTTGATGAAAGCTTTTGAAAATCCTGGGTTGAAACAATCGTGTTCTCGAAATAAGCGTGAGTGCAGAGGCTTGTGTTGTCACGTAGAATTGATATTAGTTATGATTTAAGCATAATTGATGTTATTGCTTGTAACTGCCATTGCTGATGTCAGCACAATAAATGTTGTAGTTCGTGCAAATGCGTTCGATGCGCCCGTGTTAGGCGCAGCTGGGAAGAAAAAATTCGAGAAATGAATTCCCAATTCTGATGATTGCTTTAGGCGAATTTAAAATTTGTTGGCACCGATTATTAACACACTTGGGTACTGCAAGAAAATATACTTTTATTATTAGCATATACTCATTTTAATTCATATTGTTATAATTAGGCTACTAATATAATTGGTAATTAGCAAATTATTTCGATATTGAAGAGCTGTACATTCATACAAAGGTCACACATGGTTATGTGTGACAGCTATGAGAGTCTCACAAACCCACATACCCATAGTTGTGGGTGTCTCACACACCCAGCTGTCTCACACACACATGGGTATGTGCGTGTGAGACAGCTACACACAATTGCTGCCACGCGCCTAACTCTTTCTATTGCTGCCACGCGCCTAACTCCTGCCATTGCTGCCACGCGCCTAACTCCTGCCATTGCTGCCACGCGCCTAACTCCTGCCATTGCTGCCACGCGCCTAACTCCTGCCATTCCTGCCACGCGCCTAACTCCTGCCATTGCTGCCACAGGACTTATTCCTGTCATTGCTGTCCCGCACATCCTACGCGTCCTGATGTAGCATCGCTCTGAGGCCGCTTCAACAGGCCGAGGATTTTCAATTTGCTGTTGTAATTTCCTTGTTCTGCAGCTAAAAAACCGCGGTCATTACGTTTGTGGTTTCATGTTTTAACAGAGATGTGGGGAAAACGTACATTTTACGCAAATTGTAAATTATGTTAATATTAGATTATACATTCAAAATATATTTGCTGTAAGATATGAAAACCGAAAAAATTTGGTATCATTTTCATCACTGCATTGAATTCTCAGGGAAAAAGGTAAACTAAATCTTCGTTTTGAAGTCCGTGGAGTTAAATGATTGACAATCTCCTGAGTGAGAGTAAACTCAAATTTTGTTTTAAGATGTTTCAATGTTACCATTTATTTTCTTCTCAACTGCGTTCAAGATAATCAGTGCCGGATGTCAACATGCATTTGTAATTTTTGGTGAATTTAGCAATTCTCTTTATGAGGATATTTGCTTGAGATCTTTGTTAAAGACGTGGTGAATGTGAGAAGAGTTAGATCGCTTCAGCAACCAGCATCCCTCAGTGCCTCCTTGGACGTTGTGTAGTGAAGTCATCGCGTGCATCGCTCTCTCCACGTCACATGAATTATTTTCTTGGATCCTCGCATCAATAGCGTTCTTAAAATCGATGCCAAACACCACGCTTAAAATCTTGGCGCAAACTATCAGTTAAAGTTTATATTTTACAGTTGATTTGAATAACCTCTTTTGAAACAAAGCATGAGAAAAAAGATTTATCGGCCTAACGAGTTAGGGTTCAAAAATTCAGATTTTTTGGGGTATTCTTCGAATGATTTTAATTTTATTTCTGCATGACCACCAACGGCAGTTCTGAGAAAGTGAAGGTAGCTTGCTCTGAAGAATGATTCGATGATAAGATTATAGATGATGTTATTGCACAGTTTAAAAGCCTATGAGCTTGATGCGCATGTACGCTTGAAACGACCATGCAATTCATGCGTCAATGCAATCGATTCGCTTATGGAATTGATGCGACTATGTGCATGATTCTTCCATGCATCTGATACGTCTATGCATCAGATAATAATATGCGTACGTCTTTACGCTTAATAATCTCATGCGTTTGATACGCATTTATAATGAGGATTTGCCCAGAGGTGTCTGTCGCCCAGAGGTGTCTGTCGCTCAGAGGTGTCTGTCGCTCAGAGGTGTCTGTCTGTGACGGTAATCAGGGACGGCAGAGACGTCCGTCAATTGGACGGTAAGTGAGTTAGCGGTGAATTAAGGCCTCTGCTCGTGGACGGCAGAGCGTGGACGGCAGAGCGTGGTCGACAGAGCGTGGACGGCAGAGCGGGGACGGCAGAGCGTGGACGTATTAGTAAACTCGCCCCTGAAATGCTACGGCCGCTCAAGTTCTTGCATCAAAAACGCTTCATTTCCGCAAAAATTTTCGGGGAAATTCCAGCCCGCAGAAGCGAAGGAGCTCCATCCAACTTTCCTTGTCGATAGATCGCAAAAAGAGACGGTCGATTTTTCTATTTTGGAAGTTGCGTTCCAATTCCCATTTTTCCAATAGTTGTTCAGACATTAAATGCAAATATATGTTACGTATTAAAAAATCTTGGTGATATTTGAAAACTTGGGGATATTGTTATCGACCTCACAGACGATTTCTTCTATTGATTTTGAAACGGATATAAAAGGATAATTTTTGTTCTGGAATGCCTGGTGCATTAATGCAAGACGTGTTTGTAGGTTTATAAATTTTTGTATTAATTTTATCATGGATATAAAATGATAAATTACGCCTCATAATGCCAATGCAGAATTGCAAGAAGTGTTTTAAAAGTTGAATAGGTCTTGGGGCTTTTATAGCTTAAAATCATGGTTATTGAAAAAATTTCGAAAAATGGGCAAAAAATTTTCTGAGTTAAAAAAAAACATTGACAGGGTTTATTGTCTAAAATTAAAGATTGCCAAAGATAGGTTTACGGATACAAATTGCCGAAAATATTGCAATACATACATGAAGTTTGAGTAAGGGTAGAGGATTTATTACCGCAGAGGTAAGGAAATATTAAATATTAAACCCAGCCGAAATTATTGCAATGAGATCTTTGAGTTTGAGTAAGGGTAGAGGGTTTGATACGAGGGCTTCATAGCGCAACATTAAAATCGCGTCCGGCACTCAGGACCGAAATATGAGTCACTATCACGCGCGGGACAAGAAAATATGAAATAAAATATGGACCAGATTGGTTATATTGATGAATAATGAAGTTTAAATGCGTTTTATTATCAACAATTTCACTCCTATTGCAAATAATTTGAGTGATTTTACTCGACGGCTTGAAATCACACACGAAAATGAGAGATTTTCAAGTCTAAATAATAGAAGTTCCTGTTAACGTTCCTGTCAGATTTGTACGATACGGCTGGAAGATTCAACTAAACTAATAATGAGTAGGCAGTTAGTCATATCTCTTCCAATATTATTGATTCATGAAGGTAATTAATGATTCATTACCAAGCATTACCCTAATCTTGTAATTAATTATCATTTATTAAATATTAATGAGGGTCTGCCGCGACGTTTAATAGAAAATTATTAGAAAATGTAATGTTGACACTGCAATTGAATGAATAATTTAGAGGTTTAACACATTCAAGCTCTGCCATACATCATTTTGTTATTTCACGTAGTTGAATTTTCACATGCAAATTGCAATAAATAAGTTTTTTTCAGGTATATTATAGGTAATATGCTGTACACGTAAATAATGGTACACTTCTACACTTAATCATGACATAACTTTCATGAATTTTATTCTAGAAAATCTTATGAAGAATGTTAGCGACAGCACAGTGAGGACATTTTTCCCGAGATGCCGGCAAGACAGACGCATACCTTGAGACAGACGCCCCGTCAAATGGCATCCCATTTGCCGAGGGCATTGTCTGCCTCCCTGAGAGAATCTGAGCCGAGAAACTGTAATTCTGAGAGAATACGAGCCGAGAAACTGTGTAATTCTGAGAGAATCTAAGCCACGCAACGGTGTAATTCTGAGAGAATCTGAGCCACGCAGCGGTGTAATTCTGAGAGAATCTGAGCCACGCAGCGGTGTAATTCTGAGAGAATCTGAGCCGAGCACCGGTGTAATTCTGAGAGAATATGAGCCGAGAAACTGTGTAATTCTGAGAGAATCTGAGCCGAGAAACTGTAATTCTGAGAGAATCTGAGCCGAGCAACTGTGTAATTCTGAGAGAATCTGAGCCGCGCAACGGTGTAATTCTGAGAGAATCTGAGCCACGCAGCGGTGTAATTCTGAGAGAATCTGAGCCGCGCAACGGTTTAATTCGAGAAAATCTGAAAATTCTGAGTAGCTCTGTGTCGTGCAATTTAAAATTCTGAGCCACTCAGTTGAAAAATTTTGAGAGAATTCGAGTCGCGCAGCAAAAATTCTGAGAGGCTCTGCATGTTCAGCACCGCACAAAATAATGAGGGGCTTGAAAATTCCAGATTAAATTCTGAGACGCTGTAAGATAGGCAAAAAATAAAAATTCTGGAAGACACAAAGCTAATCAGTAGAACTCAATACCGGCACTTATTTAAAGGAACTTTGAGACGAGCATGTCAAGTACAAGGGGGAAAATTATTACGTGTTTCATGCTGACCTCCGGAGGAAATTATGAACTTTTTCATCCCGAGCTTAAGTAATGTTTCGTGCTCAAGTAATGTTTCGTGCTGTATTTGCGAAAATTCTCTGAGTTTTTTGGGTGCGAGTGCCGTTCATTTTGATTGTCAGCGGCAATTTTGCGGAAGCGGGAGAGCAAACAAACTGTTTTCCAGCGCAGCCTCGATGAAGGCAGAATTGAATTAGCTGAGGGTAATAGAATTGTTTAAGAGGGTACTTGCCTTGTAACTGAGGGAACTTGCCTTGTAGCTGAGGGTACTTGCCTTGTAACTGAGAACACTTGCCTTATAACTGAGGGTACTTGCCTTGTAACTGAAGGTACTTGCCTTGTAACTGAGGGTATTTTCCTTGTAACTGAGGGTACTTGTCTTGTAACTGAGGGTAATTGCCTTATAACTGAGAGTACTTGCCTTGTAACTGAAGGTACTTGCCTTATAACTGAGAGTACTTGCCTTGTAACTGAAGGTACTTGCCTTGTAACTGAGGGAACTTGCCTTGTACCTGAAGGTACTTGCCTTGTAACTGAGGGTACTTGCCTTGTAACTGAAGGTACTTGCCTTGTAACTGAGGGTACTTGCCTTGTAACTGAAGGTACTTGCCTTGTAACTGAGGGTACTTGCCTTGTAACTGAAGGTACTTGCCTTGTAACTGAGGGTACTTGCCNCTCCTCTCTTCTCCTCTTCCACTTCCCCGCTCCTCTCTTCTCCTCTTCCACTTCCCCGCTCCTCTCTTCTCCTCTCTCACTTCCCCGCTCCTCTCTTCTCCTCGTTCACTTCCCCGCTCCTCTCTTCTCCTCTCTCACTTCCCCGCTCCTCTCTTCTCCTCCTTCACTTCCCCGCTCCTCTCTTCTCCTCTCTCACTTCCCCGCTCCTCTCTTCTCCTCCTTCTCTTCCCCTATTCTCTCCCCTCTTCATTTTCTCACCCCTCACCCCGACAAAGGCCGTATTTTACGTAATGGATATTTTACGTCGTGGATATTTTTGCGTGTCCGCCGCTGCAATGGATATGAATAAGAGTCTCGTTGGCACTCGGATGTCGAGGCAGGAAATAAAGCCCCTGCACCGCTTGAAATACGCACGTCTGATGCGTATTAAATGTCCCGCTGTGTATTAAACTTCATTCAGAGCGTTTATTCATTCAAACATGTTATATTTCTTACCGGGTGCAGAATCATTTTATTCTGAAATTTTGTTTAACAATGATTTGCACGGTAAAATTAAGCTGAATATTAGTTACTAACCTTCATCTGTCTTTTTAACACGTTTATTTTGTCGATTAAGATTAAATTATATTGAATATGAGTAATAAGTTCAACATGTGTAAATCTTCATACAATCGTCTTCATACAAAATGTATTGCAAATTTACGTATATCCTATTTTTAACAGTATTATCATGTATAACTTCAAATCTTACTTCTATGTAGTATTATATTATTGCATCAATGTATCATCTCGATATTTTTCATTTTAAAACAGATTTAAGAATGATTTTTTCAGCACGGAACGAAGGCGGATGATTGTCGAAAAATATCGGTGGCGATTTTTTCGAACTTCGGACGATCTTAGGAATTACAATGCGGACAAGAATAGGAGAGAGAATATAACTTTAAAATAAGATTCTTGAATGTTAAATAAGTGTTAAGAGAAGTTGCCTAGACTTTTCTTATGTATTCAAGTGATTCAAAGGTTCAAGGTTACTTTACATTTCACGAATGTTCAGTAGCGTGTTGAAGTGCGTCGAGGAGAAATTTTCTTTGGAAAATTTGTGTTGCTCGGACTAAAAGATTAATATCAAACTTCAAAATTAAAGTTAGTCCGAAAATATTAAAGTCAGGAAATATGGGGAAATCAGCGCAAGTAACGTTAGGTCTGCTGTTGCTGACGCTGCTGCTGTCAGCTCTGGCGATGCAGCTGCAGAACAGAGCTGCAGACGACAGCTCCGTGCTGACCATCGGTGAGCTGTCGTTCTCAATTAAGTTCTCATTATGCCATGTGTTCTCTATAATTTAGTCTTTTTTTCATTACTTCTTCTTATACTACTTATTCTTCCGCTACTTATTCTTTTACTACTTCCCTTCCACTCCACTACTTTCCTTCTACTAATATCCTTCCTCTTTGATTAATTCAGTTTTCTTCCGTTCCTCTTTTCATGTCATTGATGCGCGGTGTTTCAGTTATCGCATGATTTATTAATTATTTTTGCATACTTTTCATCTGATTCATTAATATGCCAAGCGAGCTTTTAGTTTCAATCTCGTCTGTAGGCACGAAAAAGGCATATTGAGATATTTTTTAAAGACACATTAATTTAAATTTATAACAATTTTTTACCTAAATTCATATTGTCGGGTGGATTGCAGGGTGAATGCCTTCTGTGGCTTGTACACACTTCACATTATTTCTGTTAACTAACAGTTTGTGGCAACATTTATTACTTCGAACCATCTTCAAATCATAATACAAATTCACGAATCAAAGGCGACAGAAATTGAGTTCTAAAGGTTCATCTAATGTTAAACTCTTGATTTATGTCCGGTGTAGCATTGCACCGCTACTCTATCAGTTTCGGTATCCATGTATCATTTTCATTGAGAGCGCTTCTTATTGAACTTTATTACTTAGTTTACTTTCAACTTTTTCATGATATGATTTACCACGATTTTAAGATATGACAAGTTTATCAGTAACTTAAGGGTAATTTTTACTATCTTCAAAGCTGATAACGTTGCCATAGTATTCAACTCGCCAGTCTTCAATAGAAACGAATGTATGTTATTAGCCAAATTGAACCACGTCTCTCCAGCGTGATCAAAACAAATTTGTTATTATCCTGTGGTTATCAAACGATGCAAATTGCACTCCTGACCAATATTATACGGCTTTAGTGACTAGCGGCGAGGTAAGTGCAGTATCTGCAGAGTGGCGACTTATATGTCATTGACATATATAAGATGCGGTTTCAGGTTCACTGTTCTGCCCTGGTATATAGCTGACGACAACTTGACACCATATATAGCTGAAGTCAGAGGTGACCATATAGGATTATTATCAAGAATAATCCAATGATTATATACATGACTGAACCTTATGTCTGACTCAACATTTCATTGCAATATACTGGTAGAATACAAGGTCTCTTCATACTCTACCACGATTTTAAGTTTCTATGGGTCACTAACTCAGGCGCTAGTGTCACACTAGACCTAGTCTCTACAAACCCTCTTGTTCGAATGTTTGTGCAAATCTGCCTCGTACGTGGTCGTCGTTTTGATGGGTAATCTGTTCCATTGGATGCAAATAATATAATATTATAGTATAAACATTATATTGAATATTCTTATTATATAAATATTATATTATAATAATATAGACATAAATAATCTTATTTATTATCGTGCTCACATTTCCCTTATGGTTGTTCATTCTAGGTCGCCTATATTATCTAGGTTAGGTTCTCGTCGCCCCCCACTGGTGATCATGCCCCCCCCTCTCCTTCTGAATTCAAGAGCGTTAATGCAAACTGAAAAAAATGGACGTGGCATTTGACTCTAATTGCTTCCAAATGGCAAAAAAAACAAACAGCTCGGCTTCCGAGGGTCGACGGCGCGAGGGCAGTGTGGCGTCCGAGAGTACTGTGCATTTGTAGCTGTTATTATAATTCAAACATGTTATTTATTATTTAAAGATTTAAACTATTGAATGATGCTGGCGGTTGCCGCGTCTCAAAATCTACCACGTTCTCTTTTTGCAGTTTGTTTCTGTGTCGTCAGAGGAATGTAGACGCTATATAATTACCGAATGTGTAATTGCTTGTTTAAAAATCATTTAAGTGAATTTTTCTACTCCAGTGTCCAAATATTTATTCACGCAGGCGGATTATTCGACCGATCGAAGATGGAGGAGGCAGCGTTCAGGGCCGCCATATCGGCGGTGAACGGCGGTCGGCCGGCAGCATCAGGAGGCAACCTGTCGGCCAGGGTGGAAATTCTGCCGCCTGGCGACTCGTTCATCGCCGCCAGAAAAGGTGCACTAGTTTAGGCATTTCTTTTTACGAAAAAGTTAGTGTAGAAAAGTTCTTTTATACTCTACTTTTCAGTTAGTGTTTGTTAGAAAAAGTTATTTTCGTGACGATAAAGTTAGTGTAGTCAATATAATGCAAGCATGTGCAATACTTCTTGAATATTTACATGTCATTTTTTATTATCAGGCAATAATGACGTCTGATGTAAAGTATGATAGATATTGTCTTGTGATTTTACGTAAAAAGGCATTGAACGTAGCGATCTTTTCGTTTGATTACAACTTTTAAGGTAAAATATATTTTAAAATCAATAAATATATTATTAATTCAAGTTTACCAAATATCAACATTAATAAATATTAGACTTAAATATTCAAACGCGATACTTTTAATAACATATAATTAATTAAATCATTACCTGATAACGATGATGTTAATGGGGGTGTCGGGGGGCAGCCTGCTCCATCCTGGAGGGGGGCGTGGCCGCCATCTTCGGGCCGTCATCGGACGTGAGCGCGGCGCACGTACAGGCGATCTGTGATGCGATGGAGGTGCCCCACATCGAGACCCGCTGGCAGTACCGGCTCACCCGTGACCCTTATAGCGTGAACCTCTACCCGCACCCCGCGACCCTGTCACGGGTGAGTGCTGCTAGTATACACTGTCACGGGTGAGTGCTGCCTGTACCGCCTCACCCGTGACCCGTACAGCGTGAACCTCTACCCGCACCCCGCGACTCTGTCACGGGTGAGTGCTGGCATTACCGGCTCACCCGTGACCCGTACAGCGTGAACCTGTACCCGCACCCCGCGACACTGTCACGGGTGAGTGCTGGCAGTACCGCCTCACCCGCGACCCGTGCAGCGTGAACCTCTACCCGCACCCCGCGACACTGTCACGGATAACGGGTGATCGATACCTCTTATAACGATCACGTTACTTATAGTCAGAGGTGGGCAGTAGCGTGCTACATGTAGCGGTAGAGGCGCTACATTTGAGCAAATGTAGCGGTAGCGGTAACGGCCGCTACATTTCAAAGTAGCGCTTACCAGCTCTGTTTATAGTTGAATTACCCACGTGTTAATTAATGAAGCAGACGTCCTTAATTAGGACCACGTGCCTAAATGGTTCACGTAGCCCCACGTGCCTGATGAAAGCACGCGTGTAGATTCACTTTAAGGATCACGTGGTTCATAACGGTTAACGTGCCCACGTGTGTAACGCAGGCGTACGTAGACGTGCTACGTGCCCAGGGCTGGACGAAGTTCACCCTCATCTACGAGACGATGGACGGGCTGGTGAGGGTACAGGACGTCCTCAAGGACCCTCACTTCAGGATTACCCTCAGGCAGCTCCCTCACACCCTCGATTTCAGGTTAATCCTGCACACATTTAAACTGTCAATTGATTTTTGTTTACATTTTCAAATAATATGCAATTTGAGTTTTCAAAATAATGGTTCATTTAAATTTTCTGATAATTTTCATTACTCATTTCAAAATTATTTACTTTCCCTTTTTCAAATAAATAATTTCCAATTATTTTAATAGTTCCTCTTTTTTTTAAATTGCATATAAACTTCTTTTAATTTTTTCTTTTATATGTAAATAAACTAGGATTTTTCAATTGATTATACCCTCAAACGTTAGAAAGGCAGGTAAATTTTATCCTTGGAAGAATATTAATGATATTTTTTAATAATAATTAGTTTTTTAAATTGCAGACCACTTTTAAAAGATATTAAAAAGTCTGGGTCGACGCACCTGCTGCTTGACGTGCGGCTCAGCAAACTGCAGAGTGTGATGAAACAGAGCCAACAGATCGGCCTTATGACGTCATATCATCACTACTTCATCACCACACTGGTGGGTAACACCACACTGGTGGGTAACACCACCCTTGTGTGATATGTTAAATATGTTGTAGAACTAATAACATGCATGCGTATGGAAGGACTAAATATGCTCATGGCCATACACGGGCTATTGACCTATAATTAAAGTGCACGCGGGTTAAATATGATCGGTTTAATATCTTTCTGCACATGGATACGTTTTTGATTAAGAACATGCGCAAAGGTCGGGTTTAACATGACGGGATGCACAAATGAACATGCTTCACTACATACAAACGGCTCTGCCCTACAAAATTGATAGGAGAAAGCTCGTATTTTATTATCTTGCGTATTATTTTACTTCAAATTCATAAATTATTTTGAAGTTGTTAGTCGCCTTTTTAGTTTAAACTTTACGAAAATTTTTTTATTAAAAATATTAAAACCAAAATTAAAAATACATAATCTCTAAATTCTGAGCCAAAATAATGTGCGTTTTGGCGAAATTAACGTGTTAAAAACATAAAAATCAAATTAAAAAAAATACATAGTCAATTTACATAAAAAGAGCATTATTTTCTCTAAATTTATAGAAGTCAGAATGCGGATGGTGGAATTTGCTAGGATATTGTGCGGTGTGAAGACCGAGCGCAGGAAAGCCTAAAACCCAAAACCTGATACTCGAAACTATACATTATACAGTCCTCTTCTCCCATTAAATATCAGTTTGGCCAGCACGTGGATTGTATATGCTATAGTGGATGGATTGTTCAATAAGGTGATTTTAATTGAAGAATATAAGTGACCAAATGACCCTATACGATCATATAGGCCAAGATGGTGTGTCGGTGACTGCAACATGCACACAAATCAGGTTAAACATGACAGGATGAACATGTCGGTCGTCAGGATATGTTATAGGAAGTTTATCACTAACAGTCATGTTGCGCAAGTCATGTTGAAGATGACGAACATGAACATGTTGGACATGAACATGTTGGACATGAACATGTTGGACATGAACATGTGATACATAAACATGTTAAACATGAACATGTGGTACATAAACATGTTGGACATGAACATATTGACATGAACATGCTGGACATGAACATGTTGGACATGAACATGCTGGACATGAACATGTTGGACATGAACATGCTGGACATGAACATGTTGGACATGAACATGTTGGACATGAACATGTTGGACATGAACATGTTGGACATGAACATGTTGGACATGAACATGTTGGACATGAACATGTTGAACATGAACATGCTGGACATGAACATGCTGAACATGAACATGCTGGACATGAACATGGACATGAACATGTTGCAGGACCTACACACGGTGGACTTGGAGGACTTCAAATATGGCGGCACGAACATCACATCGCTGCGCCTCATTGACCCCGCCCACCCCCCGCTGCGGGAGCTGGTGCACAGCTGGATGCCCCAACAGGTGCCTTAATTTTTACATGTTTTATATCTTTAATAAATATCTTTTATATTTATATATATTTTATATATATTTTATATCTTATATCTTTTAAATCAAGTTTCAAAAGTCTGATGTTCAGGTATTACATGTTTTATATGTTAAAAAATATCTGCTATATTTATACATATATTTAATGTTTTTATCGTATATTTTTTAAATCAAGTTTTAAAGTTTTGGTGTTAAAGTAAGTAAACAAGATTAGTGTCGCTATTTTTATTTGAATTTGTGCATATTTATTGATTCAAAAACATATTATTATTTAATATAATTAATACAATTGAATATGTAGGATCTTTTATTGAAGATCACACCCAGAGAAATGGGGGAGACTTTGTTCAAATGTCTAAGCGTTTTTTGCCCCTGTAATCCTGACACAGTTTGGCCGTGCAACAGGGCATATCAGTGCTACGTGCGCTCTCTGCTCACGGGCGAGAGAGTGAGTCACTATATGAGACATTATGCCCCGTTGATTTCGTTGAGTGGTACACTGCGTGGTACAGCCTAACGCTTATTTATTCCGCCATTCTGCAGCCCACAAGCCTGCAGACCACTGAGAAGCCTCCGCCTGGTCTGCTGGCCGGCTTTCCAGACCATCTGCCGTCAGACCTTTACAACACCAGGGTGAGTTGCATGGGGCTGTCTTAAGACCGCCGTATGTTTGGTCTTAAGCACCGTACATTTGGTCTTAAGACCATCGTATGTTTGGTCTTCAGACAACCTTACGTTTGGTCTTCACCCCACCTTATGTTTGGTCTTGAGACCATCGTATGTTTGGTCTTGAGACCATCGTATATTTGGTCTTTAGACCACCGTATGTTTGGTCTTGAGACCATCGTATGTTTGGTCTTGAGACCATCGTATGTTTGGTGTTGAGACCACCGTATGATTGGTCTTCTGTCTTCAGACCACCGCAAATTTGGTCTTGAAACCACCGTATATTTGGTCTTAAGACCACCGTATGTTTGGTCTTCAGACCACCGTATTTTTGGTCTTCAGACCGCCGTATAGCATCAGAAAATTACACGATATCGCTCGTCGTTGTTAATTAGCGTTTAACACTGCAAATCTACGGTTGTTCTTCTTAGACATAACGTAGAGAATAATTTAATTTTTTGTATAGAATAATTTAATTTTGTTGAGAAAATACATAAATTTAATTCGTAAGAGATTCCACCTTTTTGCAACTGTAGGCTGGGTTGGAAGAGCCCCCCGGCACATCCACACCCCCCGACCCCTCGACCAGCACTGAGCTGCCCCAAGTGACGTCATCAAAGGAACCTGACTTAGACTTGACATTATTATCGGTAAGTTCTTTTGATTTAATATTAATGCTTACCATTTTATCCAGTGAGTAACATATTGATTTTAATCTGATTCTTAGCTAATAATTTTTTTGTCTAACTTAATCGTTTCGAAGTTCATATTGCCGGAACTCAATTAACCATAGGAAAAGCCTAAACATTTCGGCTTCATAATTTATAGAATATCAGTAGGTTAGTCCGGCGTTGCAAGGGATAGATTATACATAAAATTTGAGAATACTGTCATCCTAAACCCCTTCATCACGAACCCCATCACCCAGAATCTCACCACCCCTGTCATCCCAAACCCCATCATGCCGAATACAGTTAATACTTTTTCCATTAAACTTCTGCTATTAACTAAAAACTTAAAAGCAAAGAAAACTCCACAAAAATTCATAGTATCTTTAAAGAAAACGTTTCGGAGTCCAGCTCCATCGTCAGTTCGAAAATTCTAGAACACAGATAAATCAATAATTAGTACAGTCAAGATTACAACAAAAAACCTAAGCTGTAAAACCTACCTATTTACAATTTCAAGCGGGTAAGAGCGAAAAGCTAATTCAAACTAGGCCTCTGTTTAAAAATATACAATGATTCTAAAATGCGCAAATCAGAAACACCGGAACTGGAAGCTAAAACTTTGAAGTCACTGTCAGAAACTGGAACATCGCACTGCTCGGCGTAAGCCCGCACAGCCGAATGAGGTGGGCGCGACAGTAAGTTACCAGTTCTACAACTCCTGCCCCTATGTTCTGCGACCCTAGAATAAAGACGTCTCGCAATCTTTATTCTAGGGTCGCAGAACATAGGGACAGGAGTTGTAGAACTGGTAACTTACTGTCGCGCCCTCCTCATTCGGCTGTGCGGGCTCATGCCGAGCAGTGCGATGTTCCAGTTTCTGAGTGACTTTAAAGTTTTAGCTTCCAGGTCCGGTGTTTCTGATTTGCGCATTTTAGAATCATTGTATATTTTTAAACAGAGGCCTAGTTTGAATTAGCTTTTAGCTCTTACCCGCTTGAAATTGTAAATAGGTAGGTTGTAATCTTAGGTTTTTTGTTGTAATCTTGACTGTACTAATTACTGTTTTATCTGTAAGAGCTGGACATCATGTAATTTTCGAACTGACGATGGAGCTGGACTCCGAAACGTTTCTTTAAAGATACTATGAATTTTTGTGGAATTTTCTTTGCTTCTATATGTTTAGTGAATTTGCGATTCAAGCAAACGAGTGACATTATTACTTATATACGTTCTGCTATTAAATATCGTAAATAATTCCTCCATCCCTCATTAATTAAATGTAATTAATTAATGAGGGATGGTGAGATGAGAGGGATGGTGAAATTATTTTTTCATACTCATATTAAACACAAAATAATAAGTAGTTCTTGCAATTTTAGGATCCCGGATCAATTAATGCATAATAAAGCTGACGTATGCTAATTAATTAAAGATCAACTCAACCGACATTTTGAATAAAACGACGAACTGTGGTTCTTAGGTCCTCTAGATTGAAGGTGGCATGTGAGTCGTCGGCCTAGGGTCGTGCTAAGTCTACAACCTTTTTTATTACATGAGAATTTATAAACCGCGTTAGTTTCTTGAAGTAATCCAGATTTTTTACATGAATTATTATTCACGACAAGGTTTTTAATTTTCGTATTTTTGTAGTAGATCAGAAGTTTAATTGTTTCGTTATCCGTGGTGCCCCGATACTACGAGACAGACGATATAGCAGAGGCTTCCATCATCAAGCAAACCACCGTATATATTTTTCAGGAAGTTGAATTTTCTATCGGAATAATTTCAAGTTTTGATTTCAAACCGTATCTACGAAACATTTTGTATACACTTATGTCATTTCTAAATTTCGAGTGCTGTAAGACTCTCCATCTGTTCAGAATGAATATTGAATATTCGAAACTTCGTGTTCCAGTAAAATGTCTTTTGGTAACCTGCTTATCGATCTCCCAACACCAGCAAGAAATTTTGTTCGGCTTATTGAAAAAATCAATAATAACGTTGCTTGCTCAAAATGCAGGTTTAAGGAAGTAATTTTAATTCATTAACGACAACAGTTTAATTTAATATGACAGCATTCATTTTCAAGTTCCAGGAAGCATCGAATACTGAAATTTTGGTGGAAATATGTACATGATGCTCGTATAAATGATACAACACGAGAATTGAGAACCATGAAAATACTTTAGAATTAATCTCAAAGTTCAGAAAATCCGGTAGTTTTGTAACGGGTTCAGCATGTATTTGTTAATATATAGATGATTATTTTGTTGCTATTTGAACAGGGTGACTTATTTATTTCTGAGTATAATTCCACTAATCACTTCAAAATCTCAAGAGAAAGTAAGCTGCAAAAAGCTTTCGTTTAAGTTCGACATAAGTGACACAACTTACACAACTTTTAACAGCATTTTAAAAATGGTTCGCTGGCGACTTTCTTAGCAAAACAAACCGTGAAAATTTTGATTTTTTTCACAGGGAAACTTTGAAGATATTTCAACGGTTAAATTGGATGCATGGCTTAGGCGAGTGATGGATATCGGATAGCTCAAGACCGATCTCCATGATGGATATTGGTAGACATGCCATCAGGGTGGAAGGGGGTAAGGGAAGTTATGCCGATATTTTGAAAACAATTCGATGGCCTAACTTTCAAGACTTGATTCTTATAAGGTTTCAAAACCGAAAATCAAATACAAGTGTTTTAAGGTTGATTCTTCATAGTTATTTTCCAGCATTTTTTCGATGGAAATTTCAAATTGGCAGTTTTGAACATGCATTGAAAGCAGAAAAATGAACGTGCCATATTCATCAAATTGTGCCTCATTTTCCGCACGCAGCACTGATACATTTTTTGCTTGGCCAAGTTAGGTCAGGATGACCAAAACAAGAGTAAAAAGTTTATCGCATTTTGCTAAAAACCTCCTACATTATTCTCAGTGTAAACCTCTCAACATTCATTGCAACATTTCTCAACCTTAGCCATCCATTAGCAAAACTTTTTTCACAACTACTATGACTAGAATATTATTGATCTACCTATAGTGATTTACCTATACCTATACCTACCTATAACCTACCTACCTATAGTGATTTAGACGTAGGTTATGCTGATCTACGTCGTGTTTCTTCTATCAACCTAACAAAAATAGGGTGACGCCTCAGCTTCTGCACAGGAGGCGCTGAACTCGGCTTAGATTTATTCTGGGTCTGCTTGGCCACCCAAGCAAAATCACTTTCTGGTCAGAATATACTTTTCGACTTAATAATGTCCTGTGAGTATGACAACGATTGGCCGAGCCGAGTCACACCGAACTTTTTAGCTGCTTAGAGGCTGTACTGCAAGCCCGACCGAAGCGGACATGAGCGGCTGATTTACGCGCTCCCCGAGTCCTGGGCGGCACCTGCTACTGAGTCCGGCCAGCATCTAAATTCTGTCAATGTATTAATCTAACTATAAAGGTGCAAGCTCCATCAACCCGGTAGACTGAGATGACGCTTATCTACCATGCAGTGCAGCTGCCACTAATCTATTCATAATCTACCCGGTAGACTGAGGTGGCGGTTGTTTACCATGCAGTGCAGCTACCAATAATCTCCCGGTAAACAGATGTGGCACTTGTCTACCATGCAGTGCAGCTACTATTAATCTATCCATGATCTATCCGGTAGACTGAGCTGTCGCTTATCTACCATGCAGTGCAGCTGCCACTAATCTATTCATAATCTACCCGGTAGACTGAGGTGGCGGTTGTCTACCATGCAGTGCGGCTACTATTAATCTATCCATAATCTATCCGGTAGACTGAGCTGTCGCTTATCTACCATGCAGTGCAGCTACCATTAATCTACACTTAATCTACCCGGTAGACTGAGGTGGCCCTGATCTACCATACAGTACAGCTACCATCAGCTACCATTAATCTACCCATAATCTACCCGGTAGACTGAGGTGGCCCTGATCTACGACGCAGTGCAGCTGTTCGCCAAGGCCCTGGAGAACCTGGACCGCTCCAGCCACGTCAACGTGACACGTCTGCGTTGCGACGAGGACGTGACGTGGGGCCACGGCAACTCCCTCGTCAACTACATGAAGTGGGTGAGTGGGGGAGACGAGGACGTGACGTGGGGAATCGTCACATCCTGGGGAAACGTTGGGAAACGTCACCTCACCTACACGTCACCTCACCTACACGTCACCTACACGTCATCTCACCTACACGTCATCTCACCTACACGTCACCTCACCTGCACGTCACCTACACGTCACCTCACCTACACGCCACCTACACCTCACCTACACGTCACCTCACCTACACGTCACCTACACCTCGCCTACACGACCCGGTTCCTCGTCTAGCGTCTCATCAGGCCCGCAATTTCTGCCCAGGAAAGCATTTGCAAAATTGGATGCCGCGTCCACAGCTGCGCCGCCCGCGCTTGGAAATAATGAATTCTTTCACACTCATAATTCCTACATGCTTTAAAAGTATAGTTCTTACCTATTTACACTCATAATTCTTGCCTACTTTAAAAGTATAGTTCTTGCTTATTCATACTCATAGTTCCTACCTACTTTAGGAGTATAGTTCTTACTTATTCACACTCATAATTCCTACCTACTTTAAAAGTATGGTTCTTACCTATTCACACTCATGATTCCTAGCTACTTTAGAAATATAATTCTTACCTAATTACACTTGTATTTCCTACCTATTTTACCCCATAAAAACTACCATTTCATACCCATACGTCCAACTCGCTTTATACTTAACATGCCCATCTATTTGACAATCCTAGTTCCTACCTAATTTCTGCCTACTTTCCACTCACAATTTTGAAAAATTTTACAATAATTATACTTCCTACTTAATTTATACTCACAATTCCTACCATTTTACCCTCATAATTCGTAAGCAACTTACACTCGTACTCCCTACACATTTTATTTTTGTTCATTTTTTTAATTTTTATAATTCATACATATTTTATACCCATTATTTTTACCTATTTTGCCTTCATATAGCAGACTAATTTTAGCTTCACAGTTCCAACCCATTTTACCCTCACAATGTCCACCCATTTTATTCTCACAATTTCCACCCATTTTACCCTCATAATGCCAAACCATTTTACCTTCACACTGCCCACCCATTTTACATCACACTGCCCACCCATTTTACATCACAATGCCCACCATTTTACCTTCACACTGCCCACCATTTTACCTTCACACTGCCCACCATTTTACCTTCACACTGCCCACCCATTTTACATCACAATGCCCACCATTTTACCCTCACACTGCCCACCCATTTTACATCACAATCCCAACCATTTTACCCTCACACTGCCCACCCATTTTACATCACAATCCCAACCATTTTACCCTCACACTGCCCACCCATTTTACATCACAATCCCAACCATTTTACCCTCACACTGCCCACCCATTTTACATCACAATCCCAACCATTTTATCCTCACACTGCCCACCCATTTTACACTCACAATGCCCACCAAATTTCCCTTACATTTCCTACTCATTTTACATAAATAGTTTCAAGTTAATAAGTTTTTTACAATAATTGCCACCAATTTTCCAATTTTTAATTCTATTTAAGCCTCCTTAGGCCGTTCGCCTCTCAATTATATAAGGTTCTGCTGACGCTAATTTATTTATGTATTTGCCTTATTTCTTTGAGTGTTCCGCCAACATTTTTCGCTTATTTTATTTATGTTTGGATTTAGCGCCTAATATTTTCAGTGGGTGCGCCTTTTTCATCTAGTTTACCAGGCTAATTTTCAGGAGTTGGACGCCTAATATTTTTCGGTTCTGCGCCTTTTTTATTTAGGTTCCTCTCCTTATTTCTTAAGGGGCTGCACCTGGTTAATATTTGGGTGGTAAGGGCGCTGAGGAAGACTGGGTCATTTGCATCTCTGCATTTAGGCGTTGAGTCCCACCATCATCATGGGATGATGGGGGGATGATGGACGGTGATGACCAATGGTGGAAATATGGAATATGGTGGACAATGATGAAAGATGGTGGACTCTGATGAAAGATGGTGGACCATGATGAAAAATGGTGGACAATGATGAAAGATGGTGGACCATGATCAAAGAGAGTGTACCATGTTGAAAAATGGTGGACTCTGATGAAAGATGGTGGACAATGATGAAAGATGGTGGACTATGATGAAAGATGGTGGACCATGATGAAAGATGGTGGACCATGATGAAAGATGGTGGACCATGATGAAAGATGGTGGACTATGATGAAAGATGGCGGACAATGATGAAAGATGGTGGACAATGATGAAAAATGGTGGACAATGATGAAAGATGGCAAACAATGATGAAAGATGGTGGACTATGATGACCGATGATGTTTAATGATGAACGATGAAGGACAATTAACAAATAAGATAGGCAAGGATACAGTATAAGACGATGAACAATAATGACCGACGATGGAGAAAATGAACGATGTTGGACAATGGCTGACGAGGATGGATGATAATTATATAATTGATTGCCATAAAACTGCAAATTCCGTTTCTGCTTTTTTTGCTGGTGAAAAATTTAAAGCTATAATTTTTTTTTGAGAAAAATTTTAAGAAATTATTCCTCTTGGAATAATTACTTATTCTTTTATTTGTTAATTATATGTGAGATTTTTCACACCCCCAGCAATGTTGGGTTATTGATACTCATATTGTTGACAATTTTAGCTGCATTTTTCCATTATGATGTTCAATATTGTTCCTTGGTAATATATTAACGATGTTGGCGACTACTGAATCTATCCATTCACTCGGCCGCTAATCGGCGTGACTGTTCCACTCGACTGACTGCAGTCAAATGACTGGCAGCGCTCAATTAAATGCCTGATATTACATTGGCAAAGCTTAATTAATTGGCTGATGTCAATTATCTTAGCTCAAATCAACGCTTATCAATGAGCAGAGCTTTACTCATAACCAGGCTGCAAAACCCAGTTAAATTTTCAACTGTGCTGCTTCTCTGAACCTGCGGTACCTGCAAAGAACATATCTGGTTCACCAGGTTCAGTTACTAACTTGGTTCTCTGAACCTGCTGTACCTGCAAAGAACACATCTGGTTCACCAGGTTCAGCTACTAACCTGGTTCTCTGAACCTGTTGTACCTGCAAAGAACATATCTGATTCCCCAGGTTCAGCTATTAACCTGGTTCTCTGAACCTGCTGTACCTGCAAAGAACATATCTGGTTCACCAGGTTCAGCTGTACGGGTTCTCTGAACCTGCGGTACCTGCAAAGAACATCTAGTTCACCAGGTTCAGCTACTAACCTGGTTCTCTGAGCCTGCGGTACCTGCAAAGAACATATCTGGTTCACCAGGTTCAGCTGTACGGGTTCTCTGAACCTGCGGTACCTGCAAAGAACATATCTGGTTCACCAGGTTCAGCTGGACGGGTTCTCGGGCCACATCAAGTTCGACGCAGACGGGTTCAGACGGGACGTCAGTCTAGACGTCCTAGAGTTGACAGTAACGGGCCTCGAGGCCGTCGGACGGTGAGAATTATTAAATATTACTATAATAATAATTAAAAGTTTAAAATTACGTAATGTAACATAATTACAATGTATAATTATGTATAATTATACAATGTATAAGATAAGTTATATTCTGAGTTAGGGTGAGAAAGGTACGAAAGTGTGAAATGTTTTCTACCTTCTAGAAATGATAGAATTACAATAATTTACTGGTAGAATAATAATTAATATATTATTATAAATTATTATAATATATTCTATATAATCTATGCAGGGAAGGCATAAGATCTAATATTTTGTATACATAGCATTGAAAAGTAAAAAGAAAGAGAAAAAGATATGTATTCCTGATATGTTATTCCATGTCGAAAGTAATTACAAATGTCTAATGCGCCGCAATATCTCGATCGGCTGTAAACATTCACCTGTTTACTTCGTATTCACTTGAAGCGTGACGGCCTCTTGTCACGCCTCAGTCACCCTTGACTCTTCTTGACGCCTCTTGTCACACTTGACACCCAAGACTCCTGTTATCACATTTCTTTCGTCCTGTTGTCCCACATCACCTTTGATGCCTTTGCCAAACTTGACGCCTCTTGTCACACCCTTGTCACGCTTGACGCCCCTTGTCACGCTTGTCATCCCTTGTCAGATGGGACTGGGCGAACGGCGTCAACTTTTCGCTGAGTGGAGGCGGCGGCAGTCGCACGTCCGCGCAGACGCTGCACAACAAAACCCTGCGCATAGTGACGGTGATGGTGAGACGAGGGATGGTGAGACGAGGGATGGTGAGACGAGGGACGGTGAGACGAGGGATGGTGAGACGAGGGATGGTGAGACGAGGGATGGTGAGACGAGGGATGGTGAGACAAGGGATGGTGAGACGAGGGATGGTGAGACGAGGGATGGTGAGACGCTGCACAACAAAACCCTGCGCATAGTGATGGTGATGGTAAGACGCGATGGTGATACATGGACCGTGATGCTCTTCTCCGCTATAGGTACCCAACACCAAGAAGCTGAGGAACCTGTTACACTAATGTTATTGGTCTCCCCTACACCATGTCCCCGAGGCCTCCCCTTACACCTTGTCCTCCCCTACTTCCCAAGTTTTCCCCTTGCACCATACCTCTCCAACTACCCCCTGGCCTCCCCCTGGCCTCCCCCTGGCCTACCCCCGCTACATCTACAAGCCTCCCCCTACACCATACACCCACTACACGCCCGGGCCTCCCCCTACACCATACCCCCGCTACACCCCAGGTTTCCCTCTACACCATACCCTGCTACTCCCCCAGGCCTCACCCTACACCATAACCCCGCTACACTCCTCCAGGCCTCTCCCTACACCTTATCCCGCAGGCCTCCCCCTACACCATACCCCCGCTACACCCCCAGGCCTCCCCCTACAACTTGTCCCCCAGGTCTCCCCCCTTCATACACTCCCCCAGGCCTCCCCCTACACCTTGTCCCCCAGGCCTCCCCCTACACCATGTTCCGGGAGTCAGCAGAAACACTAGTTGGCAACCACCGCTATGAGGGCTTCTGCGTGGACCTCATAACGGAGATCGCCGCCATGTTGGGCTTCAACTTCACCATCGAGATCGCCCCGGACGGCCAGCACGGCAAGTACAATGCGGAGCAGCAGCGCTGGACCGGTCTGGTCGGGGAGCTGCTCGAGCAGGTTAGCTGCGCCGCTGTCATCGTATTTTGACTTTATTATTATTTTTTTTCTAATTTTCTTCAATCATATTTAAATCATTTACTTTATTATTATAAATTTTATTTAATTTATATTCTAAATTTTCTTCGATTGTATTTAAATCATTTACTTCAAATCGATTTTTGTTGTTTTTTGTAATCATGTACAAGAGTACATTCTTTGAGGCTTGCGACTTTCTTGCAAATTGATGATATTGTTTATTTTAACAATTGTACATTATTGCATAGCATTTAATAAATTTTTTTGTTGACAAAGATTCTTTATTTTTTACATGTCAAAATTTATTTCACCATATGTATGCATCCAAACAAACCTCGAATTATATTCTTTGTTACAGAAATAAGTCATGTTTAATGAGATATGACCACAAGCCTAACAATTTAGACTTATTAACTTTAATACTTGATCTTTGCTGGTCTATACATATTTTGCTACAAAAAATGATCACTACGCTACTATTTAATGATAGTTTACAAAACTAAACTCACGCAGCCCCATACTCCCCATCTTCAACCTGCTCCCTGAATAAATAAATGCGATCATAACGTGACCAGTTGATAATTTTTAGCATAAATATTGATTATAACGAGACCATTTGATCATTTTCTGCATATATGCTGATTATGAGCCGACTATTTATTAATTGTTTTCATGTATTGTAATGTATTGCCCCACCCCTTGCCCTCCAGCGGGCTGACCTCGCCATAGGTGACCTGACCATCACCTACGACAGGGAGCAGGCCGTCGACTTCACCACACCCTGGATGAACCTCGGTCAGTTCTTCATACTTCTTACGCTCGAGATAATATTAATATTTTTAATAAGTTCTCACAATATATATGCATAAAATTAACTAATTAAATACGAACTAGTATTAGATGACGAACTTTGCATGTTTTGTAGCATGTTTTTGATTTTTGGCAGTCATTTGATTCTAAGTTTCAGGCAGTACGTCGAACAATTATCAAAATTATTGTTATTACTAATGAGGAATGGAGATAATTAGTCACTAATCAAAATAACTTGTTCGAACTCTGAACAAAGATTTTAATTTCATCTTAATATCCCATTTTTTATATCTATAGGTAACTTTTTGATTGATAAATCGTGAGCTTTTTATTTTTTCACCTACCATCGCTCGGATGAGATACCGTAGCTATTGTACGATGTCCTTGCTTTCCGAAGCTCATATCATGGCAAAAAATCACTATTATGGGAAACATGTTGCTTGATTTAGTGAAATGTGATGGCAGTGGTGTCAAAATATGGAGTGTAGTGTGATGTCAGTTGTGTGTCAACATCATAATGACATGTAGTGTATATATAATGACTGTGGTGTGTTTTCACCATAATAAGCAGCATAGCACAATACGTATGATCATGCACAGGCATCACAGTACGCAGCATAGCACAATACGTATGATCATGCACAGGCATCACAGTGCCCAGCATAGCACAATACGTATGATCATGCAAACGCATCACACTGCGCAACATAGCGTAATGAGTGAGTGCAATTAAGGACTGTGATGCAATGATCATGATGCCCTGACTGTGATGTGCAGGCATCAGCATCCTGTACTGGAAGGCCAGCAAGAAGCCCCCCAAATTATTCAGTTTCTTGTCGCCGCTCTCCATTGACGTGTGGCTCTACATCGTCACGTCATACCTCGCCGTGTCCGTCCTGCTCTTCTTCCTTGGCAGGTCGCTTCTTAATTAGAATAAAAGTGTTGGCACTGAAGAAATAGGACTATTAATACTCAATAATAACATCAAATATTAATATTTGATCAGTTTAGTTTGATATTTATTTACAATACATTAATTTATTATATTGAATTATATTTATAATCAAGTGCAGGTGCTGCACCTGTTTTTGGTGATATGCCTCATGGTAAATAAAGAGTTGATAATATTTAGCAGAATTCCTAAGGTTTTATGTAATTACACGTTTATTTGGTTAGTCTGTGCGAGTATGATGGAGATGAAACACAGAACTGATCATTATTTGCTGAAGTGTTAATGCACTTTATGTAATTTGATGATTATTTTGTAAAGTCTCTCTGTTCTTGACATCAGGCTGACGCCGTACGAGTTCGTGGACCGATCCCCCGAGAACAATCAGTTCAGTCTGAGCAACTCGTTGTGGTTCACCCTGGGCAGCCTTCTGCAGCAGAGCACTGAACAGATGCCCAAGTGAGATAATTAAATGATTAAACTTAACTATTTCATTTTATTAGTATCGAACGTTTTTAACGGAGAAAGATATTTATGTATTCATTAGTGATCATAAGCCTCAAGTTTAAAATAAAAACCAAAATCAAGTAGAAATTACTGTTTGTTTTTGATCTTTCCATTTGAAAGATCAAAATTGTTTTGAATCATACATGTGAAATACAATTTTCAGCTGTAAAATATTCTAATTCCTCAATCATAAGCTGTAAAATATGTGCATTTTTAACCGCATCTTACTTATAATTGAATAATTTCGATTTAGCTGCGCAAAAGGCATAAATTTGAACGCCCAGTTCTACGATGCACTGCGCGAGGCGTGAGATATTCGGCAGAACTCAAAGATTATCCAACCTTCTTTGTCTAAACCAGTGGCACCGCAGGAGTCGATGCAAAAGTGCTAAATATTTCATTGGTGCTTTGGTGCTTTAATAATCATAATCAATCTAAAGAATAACTAAACTTATGCATAGTGCATTATTACCGCCCTACTTTAGCTTAATTTTCTTATAATTAATCAGTATTGAACTTTAAAACATCAATATTCATTACATCAGAGCTGTCAGCAGGCGCTTCATCGCAGGCTGTGGTTGTTCGTCGAAAAGTTCCATGCTTACGCGTATGACATTATTATAGCTTAAATTTATAATATTATTGTCTAATTAATCAATATTTAACTATGAAACATCAATGTTCGCGGCACCAGGGCAGCCAGCACGCGGCTCATCGCAGGGCTGTGGTGGTTCTTCACGCTGATCATGATCTCGTCGTACACGGCCAACCTCGCAGCGTTCCTGACCGTCGAGCGCATGGTCTCTCCCATCGAGTCTGCCGAGGATCTCGCGGCGCAGACCAAGATCAAGTACGGATCCCTCTATGGCGGATCCACGTGGAATTTCTTCTTCGAGTCTGCCGAGGATCTCGCGGCGCAGACCAAGATCAAGTACGGATCCCTCTATGGCGGATCCACGTGGAATTTCTTCAGGTTAGTGCATATTAGGATTCAGGGATGTGATTGAATAGGAAGCTGTTCGTGGGGATTCTTTCAACAACGGAAAATGTGTACTAAATCGTGTACAAAGAACTTAGGTGCATCTCAGCGCCTATAGGATTTTCCGTCATGGTTGAATTAATACAAAAATCGCATATTGGAACTAATTTAGATGCCATGTTGCAACTAGTTTGCTATCACTGAAATGAATGCATTTATTTTTTTAAAAAACTTTTGAAACTTATTCTCTTACAAATTTAAAATCTGATTTGTTTCATGTGTTCATCAAAGCAATACGGTACGCGAGGCACTTATTATCGTTCTTCGATCAATAGACTTATCATGATTTGGCTGATTTGTCTTGATAATCCTTCTCACGAAGTTTTATTTCAGTATAGGCCCTCGCGAAGGATTTCAGTATAGGCCCTCACGAAGGATTTCAGTATATAGGCCATCACGATGGATTTCAATACAGGCCCTCACGAAGGATTTCAGAATAGGAACTCACGAAGGATTTTAGTATAGGCACTCACGAAGGATTTCAGTATAGGCCCTCACGAAGGAATTCAGTATAGGTCCTCACGAAGGATTTCAGTATATAGGCCCTCACGAAGGATTTCAAATACAGGCCCTCACGAAGGATTTCAGTATAGGAACTCACGAAGGATTTTAGTATAGGCACTCACGAAGGATTTCAGTATAGGCCCTCACGAAGGATTTCAATACAGGCCCTCACGAAGGATTTCAGTATAGGCACTTACGAAGGGTTTCAGTATAGGTCCTCACGAAGGATTTCAGTATAGGCCTTCAAGAAGGATTTCAGTATAGGCACTCACGAAGGATTTCTGTATAGGCCCTCACGAAGGATTTCAGTATAAGTCACACGAAGGATTTCAGTATAGGTCCTCACGAAGGATTTCAGTATAGGTCCTCACGAAAGATTTCAGTATAAGCACTCACGATGGATTACAGTATATGCACTCACGAAACGTTTCAGTATAGGTCCTCACGAAGGATTTCAGTATAGGCACTCACGAAGGGTTTCAATATAGGTTCTCACGAAGGATTTCAGTATAGGACCTCATGAAGGATTTCAGTATAGGCACTCACGAAGGATTTCAGTATAGGCACTCACAAAGAATTTCAGTATAGGCACTCACGAAGAATTTCAGTATAGGTCCTCGCGAAGGATTTCAGTATAGGCACTCACGATGGATTTCAGTATAGGCACTCACGAAGGATTTCAGTATAGGCACTCACGAAGGATTTCAGTATAGGCACTCACGATGGATTTCAGTATAGGCACTCACGAAGGATTTCGGTATAGGTCCTCGCGAAGGATTTCAGTATAGGCACTTACGAAGGATTTCAGTATAGGCACTCACGAAGGATTTCAGTAAACGCACTCACGAAGGATTTCAGTATAGGCACTCACGAAGGATTTCAGTATAGGCACTCACGAAACATTTCAGTATGCGTAGGTCCTCACGAAGGATTTCAGTATAGGCACTCACGAAGGATTTCAGTATAGGCACTCACGAAGTATTTCAGAGACACTGCGCTCTCAGATGAGGGCTTAAGAGTCCGCTTGACCTCAAGAGGAATTTAGGACTTCCAAAGGCACTTCTTTAGGACTTGAAAAGATCTCATGGACTTACGCCGCCTTGAAGAGGTCGAAATATCAAAGTGTTTACTTGAAGGTGATGCACGTATAGAGTAAGTACACTATGTACTGGGTGGAATAAGAACCTATGGAATGCTAATAGCTAGAAGTACAATATGCACTTCATTGACTAAAGGTATATTGAATTAATCATTCATCTCGTACCGATTATCATTTATTTTATTGAATGAAATAACTGATTTTACACATCTTCATTAACTATGTGACACATGTTCCAAATTTATGCAATGTAGCGAAGTGACTTTTGCGATCGACGCGTCGCAAGAAGTATTAAAATCTAATTTGAAAAGCGAAAGAAATTCATAATTTAAACTCCAATTGATTGTCATCGAAAGGAGAATTGTAGTCTAGCCAAGATTCCTTAAAAAGAAATCATTTTTGACGACACAAAAGAATTTAGCCTCCGAAGCGATTCGAAGCAGCTGCCCTTGCTCCATCTCCTCCATTTCCGCGCGGTTGAGCAGCTGCCCTTGCTCCCTCTCCTCCATTTCCGCGCGGTGGAGCAGCTGCCCTTACTCCCTCTCCTCCATTTCCGCGCGGTGGAGCAGCTGCCCTTGCTCCCTCCCCTCCATTTCCGTGCAGTGGAGCAGCTGCCCTTGCTCACTCTCCTCCATTTCCGCGCGGTGGAGCAGCTGCCCGGTGCTCCCTCCGCTCCATTTCCGCGCGGTGGAGCAGCGGCCCTTGCTCCCTTTCACTCCATTACTGCGCGGTGGAGCAGTTGAAAGGAAAGGAGACAATCTGGCATCTTAGAGAACACACGGCACAGAAAAGCTGGAAAAAGAAATAAATAAATGAGGAAATGAATGACGTTAAAGGAAATGAAGGAATGAACAGAGGAATGAAAGGGAATAAAATTTTAGCGCCTGTAGACATTGAAAAATATAGGAATGAAGAAAATAACCTCGTTAGTTGATTAGGTTTTAGAAATGACGAATTAATAAAAATGTCTTCAAAGAATGTAGAATTGAGAAGGAATGGGAGAAAAGATGTAATTTTCTTCGGTTGTTGAATCAGATACTGGATATTAGATTAGATATTTGGTAATGGATTAGATATTTGGTAGTAGATTAGATATTAGATTAGATAGATACTGGATATTAGATTAGATATTGGATATTAGATCAGATATTGGATGTTGGATATGAGGTTCGGTATTAGAAAAGATAATGGGTATTCGAGAAGATTTTTGTTATGTTTTTAGCATTTTTGAGGTGGATTAAGATACCTGCAGATCCGATGGAAAGAAATAAGACGACAGTAGTGGGGAAAATACGGGAATACGGAGGAAAATGATTCGGAAAGTAGGGAAAATAATATGGCGAATTAGGAAAAATGATACCGGAAAGTGGAGAGAAATAAAACGTGAAAGTAAAAACAAAATAAAACGTGAAAGTCAAGGAACATTAATTATACGGGACATTGGGGAAAAATCCGTTGAATATTTCTTATAGGAAGTAGGGGAAAATGATACGGAAAAGTAGGGTAAAATAATACAGAAAAGTAGGAAAAAATAATACGGGAAAGTAGGGGAAAATAATACGGGAAAGTAGGGGAAAATAATACGAGAAAGTAGGGGAAAATAATACGGGAAACTAGGGAAAAATTGGCACGCTAGGGAGAGTTTGACCACGACGTGGCCAAGACGAAGGTTTTTACGACATGTTTTCCCGTAGGCTTGTCAAGACTGTCAAGCGGCGGTTGTTTTCAGCTCTTGGCAGAACTCGAGGATTTCCAGCGCTGCCGGGTGGCATGAGGATAAAAAGTAATTATAAAGCATTTATGGCAACGCATACAATGGTTATAAAAATCATGATGTTATGCAAAACTGCTCAAAGGTGCGTTGTTTTTGTGAAATTGTGGCAATTTTAACCTGAGTCGGCGAATTACCAAATAAATTACTTATGTGGATAATATAATATTACTTATATAATATATTATAATATACATAAATAAATGTATAATAGATAATTATGGGGATAAGTTAATTATATTAGTTGAATGGTGATCATTTCTTGTAGGGGATAAGTTATAAACATTATTTCAGTTATTGATCGAGTCGGATTGTGAAATATATTCGATTGAATCTAAGCAATGACCTCATATGATGTAACAAGGTAATAAAGATACGATAAAATAACGAATGACACGGCAAATCCAATAAATCCTTGTGGAAGATTCATCTCCCGCAAGCCTCTAACTACGTCAATAAGAAGCAATTTTACTTACGGCCATTTATCGACCGAAGAACTGCAATATTAAATGACAAAAAGTTCAGCATGAATATTTTCGAGTAAATCATGGAGCAAACTTCGATACCGCGGCCATGTTGAACCGCGTATGGACCTGCCTCAATCCTGGTCGACCTAAGCCAGCAGCTTCTAGGCCGAGAGATCAACCTGTCAAAAATATCGAGTTTCGGGGGGGTGTGGCAGCGGGTGGTGTGGCAAAGGTCGAGTGTGGGTTTGGGGGGGTGTGGCAACGGCTGAGTGTGGCAACGGGTGAGTGTGGCAACGGGCGAGTGTGGCAACGGGTGAGTGTGGCAACGGGCGAGTGTGGCAACGGGTGGGTGTGGCAGCGAGCGAGTGTGGCACCGGCGAGTGTGGTAACGGGTTCGACATCTACCGAAGCATGTTCATGTTCGGCGCTCGTGTTACCGGACTTACAGGCAGCAATACCCTTACAGTTCGTCATCAGTGGGCACCTACCAACGCATGTTCTCGTTCATGGAGTCTCAGCGGCCGTCGGTGTACGCGAGCAGCAACGAGGAGGGCGTGGAGCGCGTGGTTAAGAGCGCCGGCAAGTACGCCTTCCTCATGGAGTCTTCGAGCATCGAGTACATCACCGAGCGCCACTGCCAGCTCACGCAAGTGGGGGGCCTGCTCGACTCCAAGAGCTACGGCATCGCGCTGCCTCCTGGTCAGTGGGGCGTCACTGCTGGGGAATGAGGTGTCGGTGCTGGGGAATGGGTGGCAGTGCTGGGGAATGGGTGAATATATGTTATTAGTATACAATATACTGATATAATATACTCACTCTGCTGTATAACAATGCCGTGCTATACCGTACCATAAGATAATTTATCCAGTGCCGTATCCAGTGCCGTGCTATACCGTACCATAAGATAATTTATCAGTAGCTTGATATACATCAGTAATATATCAGTAGCTTGATATATATCAGTAATATATCAGTAGCTGACTCAATATTGTGGACGTGCCAGGCTCTCCATACCGGGCGCTGGTGAACGCTGCGGTGCTGCGATTGCAGGAGCTCGGCAGACTCCACGACCTCAAGCAGCGCTGGTGGAAGGAGAGGAAGGAGGGGGGGAAGTGTAAGGTGAGGGGAGGAGGGGGGAGGGAAGTGTAGGGTGAGAGTATGGGGAGAGGAAGGAGGGGGGGGAAGTGTAAGGTGAGGGGAGGGGGAGAGGAGGAGGAGAGGAGGGGGAGAGGATGGGGAGAGGAGGAGGGAAGTGTAAGGTGAGAGTATGGGGAGAGGAGGGAGGGAGGGAAGAGTAAGTGAGAGGAGGGGGAGAGGAGGAGGGAAGTGTAAGGTGAGAGTATGGGGAGAGTAGGAGGGAAGTGTAGGGTGAGAGTATGGGGAGAGAAGGGGGGAAGTGTAAGGTGAGCAAATTTATGGTGATAGGAGTAAGAGAAGTGTAAAAGGATTAGAAAGAAATGAGAAAAAAAGGGGACCAAGCGTAAGGAAATTGAGAAGAGAATGGCACAGTAACCAAGAAGGAGAGCTATTTATAGTAACATAGATCAAATTATTTTACATGTGCCATTATGTATAACGAGCAAGATATTAAATTTGTGTTGGAAGAATTAAACTTTTTAATTCAACTTAAATGAACTAAAACCACACGTTTCCCGCAGGTTGACGAGTCTAAGGCTGGTAACAAAGCCAACGAGCTGGGGCTGAGCAGCGTGGGGGGCGTGTTCGCCGTGCTGGTGGGGGGCATGATGATCGCCTTCTGTGTCGCCATCGGCGAGTTCATCTGGAAATCAAGAAAAGTCGCCATTGCCAAGCATGTAAGTCTTGTCCTTGAAAACTTTGAAAGATTGCAAAATTTTATTCCATTTAAGTTTTAACCGTCGCTGCGAAGCGACCGAGTCTTGGCAATGCAGGGGTCGAAAGATTGCGAAATTTTTTATCCCATTTCAGTTAAAATTGCCGCAGTATTCATGCGAATTATGCAAATAAATACGTAGAAAGATTATTAAAATTTACATTCCTTTTCGGTCTTAAACATAATTGTATGTGAGTGTCGGGAATTGCCAAAGATTATTTAATTTTATTTATTCGTTCGAATAGCTATAGTATTCGTGCGAGTTATTACAATTTTTGATTTAAGAATGAGAGTTATGGCTCAAAACTTTAATCTTTTTAATATTCAAGCTCGTATATTAGTCACGCTTGAGTTTTTTAGTTCCTATATGTACTATTGCTAATATCTTGTATTCTCTAGTTGTCGACGTACCAGTTCACCTCGTTCTCTATCCTAACATTAAACTAAAAAAAACAATATTGCAATAATAATTAATAATAAATAAAATAAAATATATTGCCTGCAGGCGTCCATCTGGAGCGAAATGTGCCACGACTTCCGTCTGGTGGCCGCGTGCGACGGCTCCTCGTCCTCCAACCTCAGCAACAAGAAGTCGGACGTGCTCTCTTTAACGGACCATGTGCGGTCCCCTTCCCCGGTCACGGTCACCGGCAGACCCCTGGAAAACTCTGGGTCTCATGGACATGTCCCCAGCTGTGGGGCGAGTTGCAGTCTCGCCTCGACCTACCTTGGGGACTCGCGGGGACAGATAAACCCCAACGACCGCTCCCCACACTACACGGTGGGTGGGTTGTCGCTGACTGTTTTTATAGTGTCGTACTGCGGTGTTTGAGATAATTTTTCCATGATGTGCTTACGTTGAAATGTTTGTTTTTGGTGACGTAAATAACGTTTGTTTGAGGAAATTTTTCATTATCCATTTGTGTTGAAAGTCAAGGCTTTGGTGTCGTAAATTGTATGTCCTTCTATGAGATTAATTAGGTATTATTTCTACAGCGATAATAATAATGATAGTAATTATTACCACCGTTCACTGCTAATGAGGTACAGTTCTTGTAGTGCGTGAATATGCCATATTGTTATGCCATGACAATGAATTCAAGTCACCTTACTAAGATCTTTATTCACTAAGATATTATCTTATTTCTTTACACCAAAATTCTCCTATTATGTTTATGTCGGCTTGTTCAGCATAATTGAAGATTAAATGAAAAAATTATAACGTTTCACGTGTCAAGCGTCATGCCCTGTTCTTCATGCGGGAGAAAATAACCACTTTCTTCCTACATTAAATGAAAATTAATTTTGCAACATCTAACTGATAATTCCGCATGAGTCTTGCTCGAAAATAATTTTCGTTGTCAAGTCAGATTTATTTCCGTGCTATATCTTATTGTAAGAAATTTCATCAATGGGCAGAAAAAAACTCGATCCCCGGACCGATTCAACGTAAGCGACCTTCCGTCACCTGTTCTACATGACCGCCGGATGCCATCTCCGATCCGCGACTTCCGTCAAGCCCCTCCAAGTTTCTCGTGCTCCGGCAGCGTCCACAGTGATTTCGGATCGAAAACTCTTGACCGAAAGGACCACTATGGCTCCAGAAACTTACAACAAAATTCTGATCATTACGGGTCGCGATCGTTAGACCGAGACGACCACCTTGATGAACGTCCGATGAACAGGCATCTTCCACAGCAGAACTTAGGTTCTGTTGATCTGGATTGTGCAGATCGATTCGCTCCACGGAGTCTGGAAAGGACCGAATTTTTGGAACCAAGACCGCTCGATCGTTGTGAACCTTATGGATCTAGAAACCTGGACTGCTTGGATCATGTAGATTCCAGAGCTCGGAACGAACATTCGGCATCACGGCCTTTGCAGCGGAGTGAACTTTGCGGATCTAAAAACTCTGTTCGGAATGATATTATGGGTTCTCGAAGTCACGACAGAAAAGAGCAAGCCGAGAGTCGGGCATCTGATAGAGCAGAGTCTCACATGCGTGGTGCTCACGGCGCCCTTGGTCCCCCTTTGGTGCACTCGCTGGGTAGGGTTGCCAGGTCTCCATCAGAAGGGGAAATTTCCTCAGAAAGTTCGAGCCTGCAGGCTCCTGATTTGCCCTTTCAGCTCATCCCTCGAGCCAAGTGCTCGTAGTAGACAGAGCGGGAGAAAGGACGAACAGGAATGCCGTCTTTTCTTCCGTGAAGTCAAATACAGAAACAGGAGAATATATTTCTTGGAGTTGACTGAAGACCAGTCAAAAGTCAGGTTCATTTGGCTAGAGAAAGATTGAGAAATTCACAGGAAATCAATGGATTTTAGACATGAATACTTAAAGGGACTAGAATGCTAATGTTTGTTTTCATCTTAGTCTAAAGTTTATGTTCTAAAAGATCATTCTATACTTGCCAGAATGGAAGATAAATTAGTTAAAATTAGAAATAACTTGATCGAAAAATCAACTTATTGAAAAATATATTTACAGACAATATATAATTACTAAGCTGAGTTCCGGCACCAACTCATTCAATGAAAAACCAGATAAGAAAATGGTGCGAGTGAAAACGAATGCACTACCGATTGCCTCTCTGTTTCATTTGGGCATTACAAATTAGTGAAGTATTCTATGCTACGTCTCGGGATTGAGATGGTTTGCGGTTTCTGTGTACAGAAGGACGAGGAAATTCGCGAAGAGGATCTTCACGAATATTGATGATTGTTAGTTATGAGGCTAGTACTGATCCCCCTACTAAACCAAACTCAAGCACAGATCGTTTGAATGATCAAACATTGAAAATATGAATGGAGCTTGGTTCAGTTTGAGATTTTTCTAAACTGTTTAAATGTTTCCATGGATAGATGAATCAACCACCAGAATGTGCTTGAATTTAATTTTTAGCGTAAAAATTTTCTCGATTGTTCTTGAAAATTTGATGAATGAATTACGTTGATCTCGTGAACATTCATAGTTCTTCGCAGATCTGGATGAAAGGAAAAGATGCATAATTTAATTAAGTTTCGTTCGAGATTTTCTACGCGACCGGAAAAGCGGCCGAAAATAAAAATTTGAAACGAAGAAACAGAAAACATGAATGCCGGTCATTAGGATGAAGTTTGCTCATATACTGTACTTCACGCTATCGTTTTTAAATGCACATTGACTGATGATCAACACCAGTTCATGTTAGTTGAATTCGAAGTGTTCACTCATGCACTCCTCATTCCACTATGCGCGTTGTGTGAGGTACCAACTGTGACGTAACCGGTTGAGTGATTTGGTTGGTTGGATAACTGGCGATACCGTTACTTTGATGCGAAAAAACACAGCCGTTGCACAGTTTTTTTGAAAAAGATACCTGTGTCAATCTCCTGCAGCAGAGTTCTGAGGCTGTTTTCTGTACATAGCTTCTGTGATGCCGCATAGCTGTATGCTGCAGACCGGCACTGAAACGTTAACATTTTTGAAGATCATTTTTTGTGCTCGCTGTTCTGAAAATTTGTGAAACCCAACTGCTCTAGCTGATAAGTTGGTAAATAGCTTTGCTACTTTCAATCAAAGTCACGGTTTTGATCCCGAGGTTCAGGGCTTTCTACATACTCGCTGGAAAGTAGCGCGTCAGACTATAGAGTTGGTGTCGCCTAAAGGTGCTTGTACACGAGGCAGGTTTCGCCGCTAGTAAATCTGACCAGTATTAGCCGCGAGCTATTTTCGTGCTACTTGCCTCGTGTAGAGGGGTACTAGCTGCTTCCGGAGCGAGTAGTGGCAAAAGAAGACAAACATGACAAAGAAGAAGAAACAAGAACATGTTTGTCTTCTGGCGCCGGTAAGCGCGGAGTAGCTGGACACATGACCTCTTGCACACCTAGGCTAAGTCAACCTAGGTGACCTAGGTCAAGTCAACGGCTAGCTAGCTAGGTTTCTCGATCACTCAAATGCCAAAATCTTCCAGGCCCGCTCTCGAGGCAATACTTGATTGTGACAAGGTTTTTGTCACCGAATAATTTACTAGTGTTGACGTTGTTACTGTTGTCTTGTTGCAATGGTGCTATTTTTAACGAAATTAAATATTAATTCCTTGGTGGTGAAATTTGGTGGATAGTCAGTCACACGTAAGCACCGTGTAGTGTTCGCTTGTCATATTTGTGTACGAAAATTGAAGCGCTAGCGACGAAATTGCATTGAAGTTGGTTATAAATGATAGTAAGTATCTAAAATATTGCCTAATCGCTTTGAATTTGATTCTGAGATGAAAGATTTCCCTCGGCTTTTTGTCCCTTGCGTGAAATTATCGTTGTAGATGCGAAATTATTGGAGAATCCATCACACCTAAATTTAATTAGATCTTAACAGAGCCGCAATGCATGCAAATAGGTATACGTTAATCCTATCTCTGATAATAAGGATTATTTTAAGACTTAGATTCTGTAGGAATTAGACGAATAAGACGGAGTTTAGAGAATCCCTCCAGTGAGTAGTGGTTGAATAGGTTTCACCATAGTAATTTGTGGTTTGTATAAGATATAAATAAGTTATTGGTATGTATATAATTAACATCAAATCGTTCGTAAGCATTAAGAATTGTTGCTGTTGAAGTGGTCTGTGCGAGATCTTTCTCGCCAAGCCAAGGCTGAGAAGATTGCAGTATTATGTTGCATTCACGCTTTTGTAAGCCCTAAACAGAATAAATTGGTTTAAAAATGGATCTATACGGAGACGGTTATATGAGAATTAAAAATGAATATTTGTAATTTAATTTCATGACATTAATGATAAAACAACTATTGATCTTTGTATATATCTTATAGATATCTAATTTATCCGTACCTAATATCGTTGTGTGAAAGATGCGATCTTTGTTCAATGAAGCAATATGCAACAACTGCGTACATAATTTGATCAATAGGTTATCATGAAATAAACACTCCTTGATTATAGCAAGCCTATAAACCTCAAATGTACTTCATTTCGCTGGATATTAAAATAAAGAAAAATGGCTACAAGCATAGCTTTGTTTGTTATTTAATGTAAATGCAGCAATAACCAGCATATATAATAACATTATTAATGTCTGGCTGGACCCAGACAATATCAAAGGCTCTGCAGAATTTATTTTATTTATTTATCAGAAAACACGCATAAATACAGAAATTTACACATAAGTTAATTTTAAATCTTTTCAGACATTTAAATTTATTCAGTGTAATTTTAGGCATCCTAAAGTAGTGAGATAATAAAGCTTCATTTATAAATGATGACGCACCTCATCAGGAAGAGCTTATTTAATGATCGTCGCATTATTTACCTTTGACCAAAAAATTTGCGTACATTTTTTCGACCTTTTGAATCAATCGACTGTATGTCATACAAAAATTGTTGGCATTCGTATTTGTTTTTATTAACCGCATTTTGTCGATATTTTTCACGTCTTGGACAAATTTACGGCCGGACTTGCGGCCGGTCCACGTCCATTCTCCAAATTCAATGATCAAGGAATGTCTCCCAAACTACCGATGACCGGCCGTAAAATTGTCCGAGACTTGTGTTTTTCCCTCTTGGTAGTTAACTAATGAACGACACTATTATCTAATCTTTCAAGTCGTCGTCCGACAAAAGAAACAGGATATCATAGTATCAGGATTTAGTTCAAAATTTAGAGGCACAGTAAAAGGTTTTTCGTTTTTTGTGCTTTGATTAAACGGAACTATATAGTGAATATGTTAACAGTTTCATATCTATTTAATTAATTGATAATATGAGTCCAATCATTACACTGGAGGATCAGCTCGCACCCTGTCGTATTAATAATGTGTACGGAAATATTTGGAATTTGCGAAGATTATTTTTTCTTATATTTGGGTTTCAATAAACTCGAAAGTGTGCTTGAGATTTACTGAATACTTTCTGATGTGAAAAGAGTTTTTTTTAGTTATTGCGGATCCGTAATTTCAATGAGAGAGACACATTATCAGCTGTCGCTCGGATTCCGGTTTAAACTTCGGCCCGAGACGGACGTAAGTTACTGTGCTCTGTGCCCGACTGTGAAAATCACATAAATATAGTTGAATATTTGATATTGTAATTATTGATAGGTGTGTGTTTAGCAAAAGCTTGAGGCTAGAAGCTCCTTATTTATCTAAACGATGCCGGTGCG